CTCAGCACTCGCTTCTTTCTGCTTTCATCTGCTCAAGTATATGTCTTCTGGTTCCATCGTGAGCATGTCTTTCCCTTCAGAGAGTTTGCAGAGGCAGAGCCCACATCGTCCTCAGCCTCCTGTCCTCTGTGCACAGTGGGCCTGACATCAGTGTTGCATTGGCCCTCACAAGGGGCACTGTCTGCTCAGGTATGTGTGGCAGTGAAGCCAACCCCCTGGGCAGAGGGCTGCATAGATATCCATGGGAACAGGGCTGGCTGAGAGTGCTTGAAGATGAGTGGCCTTGGGCTAGGTTCTGAGGCAGGGGCTTTAGGAACAGAGAGCGCTTGGAGGAGGATGAGAGCAGTGTAGGGAAGCAGAGTCAGAAGCTGCAGGCAGAAGCAGGTAGGAGGCAAGGTGGCCATGGGAGGTGAGAGTTGAGGGTGATTGTTAGGGGTATGGGTGGGCTCCAGGAGAAGCTGGCTGTGGCATGTGTGCTTGGTGCTGGATCCACATGAAGGCCGGGCACCTCTGGTCTTGCGGCTTCTGAGCAGGACAGGATCAAAGACTGTGGCCCAGGGTGCTCACTTTTCTTTAAGGAGTGACTCCTAAGCTGCCCACCATAGTGGGAGTGGGAGACCAAGGAGCCTCCTAACTGCTGCCTTCTGGGGTTGCAGCTGGCAGCTGCAGGCTGATCACCCAGGTTCGTGGCATTTCTTGCAAAGCCTTAACCATCCCTGTGAGGAACAAGCCTATAGCTTGGGACCTTGGCCATGAGCTGAATGCAGAGCCAGTTGGTGAGTTGCGGGTGGGGATGGGAACAGCCAAAAGGTGCCTGAAGCAGAGGTGTACAAGGTGGGGGATCAGTTGTCTCTGCTTTGCCCTCCATATCTCTGTGATACTGGGCTGTTGATCAGCTCTTGGTGCCTCAGTTTCCTCATCTAGAGCTGGGACAAGTCACGGTAACCTAGCCTGTGTGAGGATGTGAACACACACTTGTGAGACATTAGGAAGTGGGAATTGTCTTACTAGTGACTGCGCAGCAGGTGTATGAACACTTGCAGGCACAGATGGCTCAAGGTGCCTCTGCAAGGGGGAAGGACTGTTTGCCAGGCCTAGGAGGGTGGAGGGGTATTGAGTGGGGGAATAGCTTGTCTTTGGCTGGATTTGAAGATCCTCTCTAGAATTTCTGGGTGCAGGGCCTGGGTACTGCATGTATTTGAGTTTCTTGGTTTGGGTCAGGTCCTGTCTAAGGCAGCATCGTGGTTACTAGTGATTACCAGTTGGCAACCTCTGGGGAGGTTGGAGCGGGTGCTGGGGAAGGAAAATGCCTGGGCTGTGTGTGACCCTTCTACTCTCAGAAGGCACCAGCTGGCCCTTCGCAGGTTCCTTAGCTGGTGAGTCAGGGAGCACCTCTGCGCCCTGGGCTTATTTCTGGGGCCAGCGAGAACCAGACAGATTACCTCTGCCAGCTCCCGTGGTTAGTTGATTTAATGCCGTTTGGCCAGTGCTAAGATAGTTTTGGGAGCAGGAAGACCCCTGAGCTGGCCTCAACCTAGCTGGCAGCCTCCTTGCTGCCAGTGGGAGGGAGGAGTTGGACCCCTCAGCACCTGAGAAAAAGGCCTGCCATCCTATGGCCTGACCTCTTTCACTCTTGGGTGATGAGCTGGCCACATTCTTGAGTCCCATCTACTGTCCCCACCCATGTTCCTGCCTTCCCTCAGGAGCAGGTTGGGGCTGTTTGGGATGGCTGGTGTTGACTCCCAACCCCTATCTGGGGTCCATGGCCTGGCTCAGAGCTGCTGTGGGCTGACTGTGAGGTGGAGGCAGGTTAGGGAGGATGATGGAAGGAGCTGGAAGTCCCTTCTGCATGTCCTCTGTTGTGGCTGGGTTGGGGCAGCATGCCTACATGTTGAGGTCCAGGTTGGTGGAGCAGCAGGAGGTGCTGTCCGTCTTTCCTTCTCCTTATTATAGCTGGGCTTACCTCAGGCAGAAGCTGACCAAGCTGGCTAGTGTGTATGATGGGTATGTGGTGGGGCAGCTGGAGGAGGGTACCTTCCTCTTCTTCCTCACAGGGCACACTGGCGCACTGGCCTGGACTGGCTCTCCAGGCATCGGAGCCTGGCACTGGGGATGGGGTGCTGCCAGCAGATGACAGAACGCGTGGTCTGTGTTGTCCCGCTGGCCAGCCTGCCCTTTGGGCCCGCAGACTGCACGAGGCTGGATAGTGGAGGAGGTTCTCACCGAGGAGCTTTGAGGGCAGGAGCTTCAGGGTCACCTTCGAGTGCTTCCCACAACCTGTGGTTCAAGAGAGTAGAAGGGAGAAAGGACTTCTCATGTATCCCTCAGGGGATCAGGGTGCCCCTCCACCTTGGGCCCCCAAAGAGTACTGACTTTTGGGGTTAGTCTTGCCACTGTGAGGCAGGGAGGGGAGCGTACCCTCACTCCTGTCTACTTCTGGTGGGGTAAGGAGCTCAGCTCCTCATTGCAGGTCACCATCATAACCACAGGGTTCGAGTGGGTGGGGGACACTGAGGAGACTTGGCAGAACTGCTTTACTCTCTAAAGGCCAGCAGCCAAGCTGCAGCCTGGTCCTGATGGTGCAGAGCTGAGAGGCCGGCTGGGGTCTCAAAGAAGGGGCCAGAGCTACAGGGTTTCTTCATGGTGTGCTTGCCTCAGGAGGGCCCCTAGGTCCTGGTATAGCCTGAGGCTCCGGAAGCTGCTCTGTACTTCCGACTGAGGAACCTGTTTGCTTGTGGGGTGTGAGTAGGGCTGGCTGTGAGGAGGATGGTCATGTAGCCAACTGTATGCATTCAGCTGGCCCTGATTGGTCTGTGGTTTATGCCAGGCACCAGAGCTTTTGGACAGCTGCACCAGTTGTCATGGGGTGGGATGGGGAAGCTTTGTAGAGGTAGGTGGTTCTAAGGGTCCTGTCCCAGGCTTAGGCAAAGAGCTTCCTAAAGGAGGGAACACAGGAGGCACAGGGAAGGAGCTCATGAGGTACCTGCTGGGCTGAAACCTCATGCGGTACCTCATGAGTCGGGGGAACTTGGGTGAGTGATAGAGATGAATGGGATGGGAAGGGGTGGTGGATGGTGACCACCCTTCTGTGCAGTCCCCTGCCTGGAGAGGCTGCTGAGAGGAACCCTCTGAAGGCCACCTGCCCCGCCTGGCCTTGGGAGAGGCTATGGAGCAGAGGCTGCTCTCCCTGTCAACACACCCCCTCTTCCTTCCTCCGCCTGCTGCCTCGTGGCAAGAACTGGGTGAGCCCTGGGTGCCAGCCAGGGCTGGGCCCAGATGGTGGTTTGGGGCTGAGCACAAGGAGGCCCTTGGTGGAGTGGGTGGGGGGAGGAGCCACGCTCCAGAAGTGTGTGTGTGCCAGCCAGCCCAGGCCTGTCAGGGTGGCCCTTCGGGGTAGGACTGGAGGGACCCCATGAGGGCTTCATCTTGGTGGGGCAGGCAGGTGCGTGGGTGTGTGTAGGTGGGCAGACACCTGTCCCCTCCATATCGGCTGCCTGTCACTGCGGGCAGCAGTGGTGTGGGGGAGGGGAGCAGGAAGCTGAGGTTTTGTGAGTCAGAATAGGCCCTCACTGCCCCGCCCCCTCCAGTGCAGCAGGGACCTGTCTGGTGTTTGTGTCTTTGGCATGGCCCTCATGACCCTGGAGGGCTAGATGCTCTGCCTCTGCCTCTGCTGTTTTGTTAGGGTCAGCTTGCCTGTCAGGTGAGCCAGGCTGGGTGGATCTGAGGCTGGAGGCCCACAGAGACTGTATGCGAGGTGGGTTCTGGGACTCAGTGGGGTCCACAAAGAGACTTATGTTGAGCATCCTCCCTTTTTCACCTGCCTCTGCTGCTTCTGTTGGCCCAAGCAGGGGATGGTGGCCATGATTCTCTGGGAGGTGACCATCAGCAGGCTTTTGTTTTTCCCACCATCCCCTGCTCCTTCCTCTATGAGTTTGGTATGGCGAATGGAACAGTGCCCTGCAGGAGCTGGGTCCTGAGCTCCCCCTGCTCCTGTGGTGGCCCACAAGCAGGGCCTCTGCCCCATTGTCTTCTGAAACCTGCGGTGGGGTCTGTCTGTCTCTGAGTCACTAGCACCATGGGGTGGGGTGGTTCCCCAGCCACACATACAAGGACCAAGGATTCTTCTCGAACTCCACACTGTAAAAAGTGTCTTAGGCACCCTCAGTGTAGGCCCAGAGTGGGTAGGTGACAAGGAGCTCTGGAGTGCCCAAATATGTCCTGTGCACTGGATATTCCCTCTGTCTGCATGGTGTTCTCTGCCCAATAGGCTGCAAGAGTTGTCAGGTTAAGGGCCCATGTTGGGGCTTGGCCATGGAGGCAGATCCTAAGGGGTGTGGCTCAGCTGAGCTGCTGCCCTCCCTGGAAGGGCCTGATGCTTTAAGAGGTTGGATTGGCCTGGCAGGTGAAAGGAGTGGCCTGGGGTGAAGGGGAGAACAGAGGAGACTTGGAGAGACCTGGGTGCTGCTCTCTGCCCTCTTCTACCTGAGGGTCTGCAGTTGCCCAGTGGCCTCTCTATCCAGAGCCATTGTCTTAGTTACTTCTTCCTCACTGCTGAGGCAACACACCCAGCACCCACAAGTTAAGGGAGGAAAGGTTTATTTTAGCTCACAGTTTGTAGAGGTTTCAGTCCATAGTTGGCTGCTCCAAGGCAGGGTGGCATGGCAGAGAGGCATCACAGAGGAGAAACAGTTCATGGTGGGCAGGAGAGAGCAAAGCAACAAGGGAACTACAGCTCTTTCTGTCCCTTTTATCTTATCCTGGCTACTTAGGACAGGTAACACTCATACCCTTAATCCTCGTGCCCTTGATCCTAGCATTGCACTATGAATTGATCCCAGGATCAGACATTCTAGATCTAGCCACCTCTGAAAAAGCCCCACTTATGGCTGCTTGAGGCTTTGGGGGTCATCTGGATACAAGCATAACATTTCTACCCTGGGCCATGATACCTGGGCCAGTGGCGTGTGGAAGGTGCTCTGACCCCTTGCTCTTGTCCTCAGGGAGTGGGGAAGGCCAGGGCCAGATTCTGCAGCGATTCCCGGAGAAAGACTGGGAGGACAACCCCTTCCCCCAGGGCATTGAGCTGGTGAGTGGGGAGGGCCAGTTCCAGAGCCTCAGACCCCTGGTGGAGGGTGGGGTGGCTGGCTTGACTGGCAGGGTATTTGGTGCCCTTGTTACTTTGCTGTGCTCTCATTCGCTTTTGGTGATGAGACCAGAGGCTTTCTCTTACTGCTTTCACCCGGAGGGGCTGAGGCCCAGGAGATGAGGTGGCCCACAGTCACTGTGAGCCACTGCCCCTGTGCCCTAAAACCTTGAGGGCAGGCGGGATGGGGCAGGTGGGTGTCCCCTGCTGCTGCAGGTGTGTGTACAGCTGACTGCTCAGTCCTTCCGCAGTTTTGTCAGCCCAGTGGGTGGCAGCTGTGTCCTGAGAGGAACCCACCGACCTTCTTTGTTGCTGTCCTCACTGATATAAACTCTGAGCGGCACTATTGCGCCTGCTTGACCTTCTGGGAGCCAGTGGAGCCCACACAGGTCAGCTGGGCTCTGGGGTGTAGTACGTGGCAGCTCCCTCTGCCTCTGGGCATGTATCCCACCTGGTGGAGGCCTGAGTTCATCAAGGCCCAGGTCTGTTTTAGTTGGCCTTGTCCTCCACCTGGGCTTCTATCCACAGGGAGCACTAGGCACCAAGGATGCCTCGGAGAGGGAGGAGGCAGATGAGGGAGGCTGGGGGCAGCTGTCACCTGCAGCTGCAGCCCAGCCTGGCCAGCTGTTCGCTCCGAAGACTCTAGTGCTGGTGTCTAGACTGGACCACACGGAAGTGTTCAGGGTGAGATGGGGCACCATGACAGTGAGGCAAGGTGCAAGGTGCTCCTGTCAGCTGACTGTCATCCCTGTCTACTCATTGTAGAACAGCCTCGGGCTCATTTACACCATCCATGTGGAGGGCCTGAACGTGTGCCTGGAGAATGTGATTGGGAACCTGCTGACGTGTACCGTCCCTTTGGCCGGGGGCTCACAGGTGGGTCTTGTGGACAGCCAGCATCCCCGTGGTCACAGGCCCTGGTGTGGTCATGGGGGTGGGCTCCAGGAGTTCAGCATGGCCCGGAGCCTTGGGCACCCTCCTCTGCTCTCAGAGCTGTCGTCTTTTGGCCCTGCCTGCTCACTGGCTCTCGCTGTCGTATCTGCTCCTTGTTTTTTTTTTTTGCTTTTGTTTTTGTTTTTTGTAATTTTGAGACAGGGTCTCATTATGCAGTTCAGGCTGACCTTGAGCTCACGTTGTAGCCCAGGCTGGTCTCGAACTCGCAAGGATCCTCCTCCTGCCTCAGCCTCCCAAGTGCTGGGATTACAGGCGTGAGCCACCACGCCCGGCACGCACCAGCTCCTTTGGGCTGACATCTTTACCCCTGTCTTCTCAATCCTTGGGTGTGTCCTGTCTCTGGATGTTGCTGTGTGCTTACCTGTCTGCTCCTTGCTGTGTGCTGTGTGTGCTGGGGGTGTCTAACTGTGTCCTTTTGCCTGTCTGTCCTGTGCAGCTGGACTCTGTTGAGGAAGGAGCGGTATGGACCCTTTGTTTCTTCTGCCCACCCAGGCCCTGCCCCGCCCCAGGTCAGAGGCAGCCACCCCTGTCCTGAGTTTTCTCTTTAGCACTGCTCAGCCAGCAGAGGCAGGGTGTGGCCTTTCCCTCCAGCCATCCCAGCCAGTCCCATCTTGGGGTCTGTCAGTACACCAGGGCCCACCTGGGGCCACTGAGCTCTGGGCTGACTTGTTTGGTTAAGCTGCTGAGCTCCGACCCTTTTCTTTCCACAGAGAACCATCTCTTTAGGAGCTGGTGACCGGCAGGTCATTCAGACCCCGCTGGCCGACTCGCTGCCTGTCAGCCGCTGTAGCGTGGCCTTGCTGTTCCGCCAGCTGGGTGAGCCCACTTGTTCTCCCCGCTCCTCCCCGCAGCTTCCTGTCTGCTGGGGAGCAGAGGTGTAGGTTCTCAGTGTGCCTGGGGAGGGCTTGCAGGGCCCTTACCATCCCTGTCCTTTTCCCTCAGGCATCACCAATGTGCTGTCTTTGTTCTGTGCTGCCCTCACGGAGCACAAGGTCCTCTTCCTGTCCCGGAGTTACCAGAGGCTTGCAGATGCCTGCAGGGGCCTCCTGGCTCTGCTGTTCCCTCTCAGATACAGGTGCCTCTCTGTTCAGAGCCTCCCCTCAGCCTTTCCTGGCTTCTCTGCCCGGCCCTACCCTCTGGCCCTGCCCTCCAGGGCTCACTGTGTCCTCTGGGGCCTGCTGCAGCTTCACCTATGTACCCATCCTGCCGGCTCAGCTGCTGGAGGTCCTCAGCACACCCACGCCCTTCATCATCGGGGTCAATGCCGCCTTCCAGGCAGAGACCCAGGAACTGGTAAGGGCCATGGTGTGTGTCTGCCTTGCTGCCCAAGCCTGCATGTCCCTGACCACTTGGTGCCTTTGGTCCACAGCTGGACGTGATTGTTGCTGACCTTGATGGAGGGACAGTGGCTGTCCCTGAGTGTGTGCACATTCCACCCCTCCCAGAGCCTCTGCAGAGCCAGACCCACAGTGTTCTGAGCATGGTGAGGACAGAGGCCAGGCTGTGGTTGGAGCCCAGGCCTCTTGGGAGCCATCGCCCAGCAACAGGGGAAGCTGAGGCTCGCTGTGTAACTCTGCATCCCTCTCCTCTGCTTCTGCAGGTCCTGGATCCAGAGCTGGAGTTGGCTGATCTTGCCTTCCCCCCTCCCACAGTGTCCACTTCTTCACTGAAGATGCAGGTGGGGTTGTTGATGCTCCTTTTGGGGTGTCATTTAGGTCTACTGCCCCGATGGTGGGGTGGATGGTGTGAGCTCACTGCAGCCCCTGTAGGCTGGCCTTGAGCTAGTACGGGCAGAAGGAGCTTGGGAGCAGAGCAGCTGCTGCAAGCATCAGGGCTGGGGTGGTGCAGTGGAGGAGCCAAAGCTGTAGGGAGGAGTCATTTGACTGTTGGGGGGCAGCAGGAGGAGGGGTGGGAAGGGATGCTGAGAAGAAGCCCACTCCTGGCCCTGTGCCCCAGGACAAGGAGCTGCGTGCTGTCTTCCTGCGGCTCTTTGCTCAGCTCCTGCAGGGCTACCGCTGGTGTCTACACATCGTGCGCATCCACCCAGAGCCCGTCATCCGCTTCCACAAGGTAGGCCACCAGGCTGAGGGGGCGTGGTGCTCTGCACCTCTCGGGGCTGACCTCTTGGTGTTCTCTCAGGCAGCCTTCTTGGGCCAGCGTGGGCTGGTGGAGGATGACTTCTTGATGAAGGTGCTGGAGGGCATGGCTTTTGCAGGCTTCGTGTCAGAACGCGGGGTTCCTTACCGCCCCACGGACCTGTTTGATGAGGTGTGCCCTTTGCCCCTGCCTGCCCCTTGTCTCCTTCCCTGCCCCCTGGCTCACTCTGTCTCCTGCCCTACCCCTCCCAGCTTGTGGCCCACGAGGTGACACGGATGCGTGCAGACGAGAACCACCCTCAGCGTGTCCTGCGTCATGTCCAGGAACTGGCAGAGCAGCTCTATAAGAACGTATGGCGGGCGGTGTGAGGGGAGGTGTGGTGTTACCCAGGTCCCTGCCCTGCAGCCACTGCCTGCCTCTTCTCCCCCAGGAGAACCCGTACCCTGCTGTGGCGATGCACAAAGTGCAGCGGCCCGGTGAGGCCAGCCATCTGCGGCGGGCAGCCCGGCCCTTCCCCCGACTGGATGAGGGCACTGTGCAGTGGATTGTGGACCAGGCTGCGGCCAAGATGCAGGGTGCACCCCCAGCTGTGAAGGCTGAGAGGAGGACCACTGTGCCCTCAGGACCCCCCATGAGTGCGTAATGAGGAGGGAGAGCAGGCCTTAGCCTTGGTCTGGGGTGGGTATGGGGTCAGGTCAGGGTAAGCATGTGCTGTCTCCTCAGCGGCCATACTAGAGCGGTGCAGTGGGACACATGTCAACAGTGCCCGGCGTCTGGAGGTGGTTCGGAACTGCATCTCGTACGTGTTTGAGGGGAAGATGCTTGAGGCCAAAAAGGTGAGGCATGAGGGTGGGGCCTTTGGTCTGAGGCCACACAGCAGCTTGCAGAGGGGTGCAGGGCTGTAGTTACAACTCCTCAAGTGCTGCAGGTACTGTGGGGGTGGACACTAGGTCTCTCCTCCTGATCTTAGTGGGCAGCAGGACAGGCGTTCCGGAAAAGTTCGGTGAGGGGGTTGGCATCAATTTTTAGAAATCGAAAGACTTTAGCTGAGTGTGAGGGCATGCACCTCTAATCCTGTTACTGATACAGGAGGTTGACGCAAGAGGATTGCAAGTTTGAGTCCAGCCTGGGCAATTTAACAATTTAGTGAGACCTTATCTCAAATTATAAAAGGTTATCTAGGTGTGGTGGCACACACCTGTAATCCCACCACTCAGGAGGCTGAGGCAGGAGGATCACTGTGAGTTCGAGACCATCCTGGGTTACATAATGAGACCCTATATATATATATATATATATACATATACACAAACATATATATATACATACATATATGTATATGTGTGTGTGTGTATATAACGTATATACGTGTATATATATACATGTATATATGTATATACACACATGTATATATATGTGTGTGTGTATATATATATAAAAGGTTTGGAGGCTGGGCGTGGTGGCGTACACCTATAATCCCAGCACTTGGGAGGCAGAGGCAGGAGGATTGTTGTGAGTTTGAGGCCAGCCTGGGCTACAAAGTGAGCTCAAGGACAGCCTGAACTACATAGGGAGACCCTGTCTCAAAAAGACCAAGAAAAAGGTTTGGGGATATATCTCAGTGGGAATGCCATGGGCTTAACTGCCAGTAAATGAATGAAGGAGTAGATTAGAAGACATTAAAGGTTTTCGTTGTTAAGTTGCTTCTGCATCTTTATTCTGAAAGAGTAGACCTGTATATTTTGTGTTTTTTTAATTTATAGAAATCAGAACCCACTTGCACATTTTTCTGGCTTCCGTGGTGTTTACATAACCACAGCTTCCTTCATAGCAGCAACTTTGTCTTACTCTTTTGTTGTCTGTGTTGTGTCCCCATGGGGTTCCGTGGTTTTATAGTGAGTAACAACCCTCCTTTGCCTGACCTCTGCTGTGTGACGTCTGTGCTCCTCAAGCCCAGTAGGCTGAGTGGCTCCTGGCTCTCAAGGGCTGGCATCCAGAACGCATCCACACTGGCTTGTGAGCCATAGCCTGAGCATCACGTGTCCCTGTCCTCATGTGGAGTTGCTGGGTCAGTGGGGGCTTCACTCTTGGTTGGGCAGTGAAGCCCAGCACCTAGGTACACCTGACCCATGTGGCCTTGGTCTCCTGCTCTATGCTTAGAACCAGGCTCTGGGCTCCTGCAACCTGTTGCACTCTCCTTGCCTCTCCTGGTGAGGATGCTTAGCCCATGTTCCCCTTGCCTTGCCTCCAGCTGCTCCCAGCTGTGCTGAGGGCCCTGAAGGGGCGTGCAGCCCGCCGCTGCCTCGCCCAGGAGCTGCATGTCCATGTGCAACAGAACCGGGCGGTTCTGGACCACCAGCAGTTTGACTTCGTCGTCCGCATGATGAACTGCTGCCTGCAGGTGAGGCCAGGCTAGGCCCCGTCCTGTAGCGATGTGGCATGTGGGGGTGGACAGGAGTTCCGTGCGACTTCCCGTGGTCTTCGGGGGAGTGGAGAGGGGTATAGGGGATGATCACTGTATCTGTGGAACGGGGGTTTGACTCTGTAAGGAGTGACAGGTTGTGGGGAGAGCCCTCCTGAAGGTAGGTACAGGGCTGACCTTGAAACCTTCCCCAGCCCTGGGGAGTTAAAGCCAGTGGCTCCAGGTGACCATGGTGGGAGGTGCTGGCCTGTGGTGGCCATAGGGACAACTGGAGGTGGGCAGTGTTGGAGGAGAGGGGGTCCCCACAGGCTTCGGCTCTGCCCACAGGACTGCACTTCCCTGGATGAGCACGGCATTGCAGCTGCTCTGCTGCCCTTGGTCACTGCCTTCTGCCGGGTGAGCACAGGGTCCCTCAGCCTCCTCCCTGCTTCCTAACTGGCTGCATCCAGGTAACCTCCTCAGTTTGCTTCTGCAGAAGCTGAGCCCAGGGGTGACGCAGTTTGCATACAGCTGCGTACAGGAGCATGTGGTGTGGAGCACACCACAGTTCTGGGAGGCCATGTTCTACGGAGACGTGCAGACCCACATCCGGGCCCTCTACCTGGAGCCCTCTGAAGACCCAGCTGCCTCCCAGGTGTTCAGGATTCTCTGGGTCTGGGTGGGGTTGGGGCCTGAGTAGCCCTGGTTGGCTCACCATGCACCCTGGCAGGAGGCTGGGGAAGTATCAGCCCAGGAGGACGAGCGCTCTGCCCTGGATGTGGCTTCGGAGCAGCGGCGCCTATGGCCAACCCTGAGCCGAGAGAAGCAGCAGGAGCTGGTGCAGAAGGAAGAGAGCACAGTGTTCAGCCAGGCCATCCATTACGCCAACCGCATGAGCTATCTCCTGCTGCCTCTGGACAGCAGCAAGAGCCGCCTTCTGCGGGAGCGGGCAGGACTGGGAGACCTTGAGAGCGCGAGCAACAGTCTGGTCACCAACAGGTGGGCTGGGGCCTGGGCTGGCCTGGGCAGGTCTTATGGTAGGCAGGGCCTGAGCCTAGCCTCCTTCCCCTTGGCCAGCATGGCGGGCAGTGTGGCTGAGAGCTATGACACGGAGAGTGGCTTTGAGGATGCAGAGACCTGTGACGTGGCTGGGGCCGTGGTCCGCTTCATCAACCGCTTTGTGGACAAGGTCTGCACAGAGAGTGGGGTCACCAGCGAGCACCTCAAGGGGCTGCATGTCATGGTGCCAGGTATGGGGTCTGGGCATGGGGGCATTTCTCAGGTGGGCAGCAGCAGGGGCTCGGCACGAGGGCTGCTCTCCCTCAGATATCGTGCAGATGCATATCGAGACCCTGGAGGCCGTGCACCGTGAGAGCAAGAGGCTGCCCCCGATCCAGAAGGTGAGTGGGGCCAGGTAGGCTGTGGGTGCCAGGGAGCTCACACTGTGTCCTGAGGCACTGCTTATGTCCAAGCAGCCCAAGCTGCTCCGGCCTCGCCTGTTGCCTGGAGAGGAGTGTGTCCTGGATGGCTTGCGAGTTTACCTGCTGCCAGATGGCCGTGAAGAGGGCACAGGGGGCAGCGGAGGAGGCCCCGCACTGCTTCCGGCAGAAGGTGCTGTCTTCCTCACCACGTACCGGGTCATCTTCACAGGAATGCCCACTGACCCCCTGGGTGAGCCTTTCGACCCTTGTGTGGGCCTCCCCTCCCTACTAAGTCTTCATTGGGGGGACCTTCCCTGCCCATTCTTCCCTTTCCTCAGGGATGCGGGGTCCCTGTGAGAGACAGGCTCTTGTCTGGTCCTTCCCCACCCACTCAGGACCCCATAACTGTGCCCTGAGGTCTGTGACCACTCCATTTCCCTCCCCTGCTGACTTGCTTGGCCTGTTGTAAGTGGGGGAACAGGTAGTGGTCCGCTCCTTCCCATTGGCCGCACTGACCAAGGAGAAGCGCATCAGTGTGCAGACCCCTGTGGACCAGCTCCTGCAGGATGGGCTGCAGCTGCGCTCCTGCACATTCCAGGTTGGTGGCATGGGCCTCACGTAGCTTAGCATGGTCTCCTCTCCCCATTTGACCGCTTTGGGGTCTTGGCTGTCCCCTTGGGCTGCTGACCCTCAAGTCTGTATCTTGGGTGTGCTATGTGAGCTGAGACCTTGCCAGGCAGCCACTGGAATTTCCCCCATTTATATGTTGTGAGTCAGCATGGGCACCAGGCCTTCCCAAGGCTTCCGTGGCCTGGCTGCTGTGCAGAGGGGGCCCAGGTGCTCAGGAATGTTGCTGTTGGGGAGGGGCTGCTGGTCATTCAGACAATGAGGGTGTCTGTCTGTCTGTCTGACACAGCTCCTGAAAATGGCCTTTGATGAGGAGGTAGGGTCCGACAGTGCTGAGCTCTTCCGCAAGCAGCTACACAAGCTGCGGTATCCGCCGGACATACGGGGCACCTTCGCGTTCTCACTGGGCTCCACCCACACGCCTGTTAGGCCAGCCCGCATTGCCAAGGACAAGGGCCCTTCCCTCAGGTAAGAAGGCAGACTCAGGGCCAGGGCAGCCGATGCTGGCTGTGTGCTTGGCCAACGTCTCCTTTTACCTCTGCGGGCTCTTTGCACCCAGAACCCTGTCCCGGAACCTGGTGAAGAATGCCAAGAAGACAATGGGGCGGCAGCATGTCACTCGAAAGAAGTACAACCCTCCAGGCTGGGAGCACCATGGCCAGCCACCCCCTGAGGACCAAGAGGATGAGATCTCAGGTGAGCATGGGTGGGGACGTCCCAGGCAGTCTCCATCAGGGACCACCCCCACGGAGCACATGTGGACTGCTCAGGTCTTTGGGTGATGGCCCCCATGTGCCTGCACAGTGTCGGAGGAGTTGGAGCCTAGCACGCTGACCCCATCCTCAGCGCTGAAGCCCTCAGACCGCATGACCATGAGTAGCCTGGTAGAACGGGCGTGTTGCCGTGACTACCAGCGCCTGGGCCTGGGCACCCTGAGCAGCAGCCTGAGCCGGGCCAAGTCTGAGCCCTTCCGCATCTCCCCGGTCAACCGCATGTATGCCATCTGCCGCAGGTGAGGATGGGCTACGGCCTGCCAGGAGGAGGCAGCCAAGGCTGGGTGGGGTGGCGAGTGGTGCTGAGGTCCCTGCCATGCTTGCCATGGGCATGGCCATGGCACGTGGGTCAGCAAGGAGGCTGTAGGCCTTGGTGGGGGCACCCAGCTGAGCACCAGTCTTGGAAGTGCCTTTGGCCTTCTTTGCAAGCAGCCGTGGACTTGCACCTCTTGGTGTCGCCGCCTTATGCTCCTCTTTGCTGTCTGAGTCCCTGAGGGTGGCACAGGCCGAGGCTTCAGAGGTGCCCTCACCAAGCCCCTGCCTCCTGCAGCTACCCAGGGCTGCTGATTGTGCCCCAGAGCGTCCAGGACAACGCCCTGCAGCGCGTGTCCCGCTGCTACCGCCAGAACCGCTTCCCCGTGGTGTGCTGGCGCAGTGGGCGCTCCAGAGCCGTGCTCCTGCGATCCGGCGGCCTGCATGGCAAGGGTGTTGTCGGCCTCTTCAAGGCCCAGAATGCGCCTTCTCCAGGTACCTTCCGGGGCTCTGCTGGGCTGCCACCCACCCTCCCACGCCTCTCCCGACCATCCCCTCCAGCGTCTGCCCCTCACCTAGGCCAGTCGCAGGCGGACTCCAGCAGCGTGGAGCAGGAGAAGTACCTGCAGGCTGTGGTCAGCTCCATGCCCCGCTACGCAGATGCCTCAGGACGCAACACACTCAGTGGCTTCTCCTCGGCCCACATGGGCAGCCATGGTGAGAACACTCGAGGGCAGAAGGTGGGCACGGGTCGAGGAAGACTTGGGGGACTATGGCAGCACTTAAGGTGGACGGCGAGGGGCAGAAGTGAGCTTGGGCAGGGATGAGTGTGGGAAGAGGATGGGGCCCTCTGGGCACTGGGGAGGATGGGAACCCTCCTGGGCCAGGTGAGTATCCTGAGGTCGTGCCTGCTGTGACCACAGTCTGTCCCCGCCTCCTCGCTTTTCCTAAACGGCAGCACGCTGCAGAGGCAGTGTTGTCTGATGCTGGCTGCAGCTCTGAACTCCCTGACTTGCCCTTTGCAATCCCTCCCCAGTGCTACTCTCGCCACAGCTTGGCCCCCTCCTTACCTCTCCTTGTTGGAGCTGCTTTCACTGTCACTCTCATTCCTCCTCATGCACCCTGGCTTGACCGGGGCCAGCCTCTTCCCCACATTGAGCCCACGAGGTGCCCACGGCTCTCCTAGCCATCACTGTAGTTGTGGGATGGTTTCTGTCTCTGTGAGGTGGGGTCCATTGTCGCCTTTTGCAAAGGAGATGCCAGGCCAGGAGGTTAGGTGTGTGCTGGGGCCCTTTGCCCTGGGCACTCACTGGCTCTGGGCTGGGTTGTGTCTCTGTCCTGACCCCAGGCTTGTCATTGCCAAGAGTGTGTGGTGTTGTGTCCATGCTGGGCAGACAGCTGGTGTCCACTGGTGAGCAGGAGGCGAGTCATGAGGGCTGGGCACAGGGATAAGCTTCCAGGCAGGAAGTGAGACCCAGGGCCTGAAGGCCATGCGGGTAGCTCTGTAGGGCAGAGAGAGAGGGTTGAGCTGGAGCAGGAGGTGGCCTTCCTCCTTGGGGCTCTCCTTCCAAGGCAGCTGCTTCTCTTGTCTGCCCCCCACAGCCCTGACTGACCCCTTTCCCCCACCTGACCCCATCTTTACCCCATCTCCACCATCTGATGCCCCCAGTCTGGCCCCATCTGCTCTTCTGCTCTGTCCTGGTTCCTGAGCCCTGTCTGGCTGGCCCTCTTGGCCCACTTAGTAGATACTGGGATCTTGGAGCTGCTAGGGTGTTGGTTCTTGGGCCTACAGCCCTGGCGTCTGCCCAGCACATGAGGAGAAGTACATCACCTGCCTGTGTGGGCTATGCTTACGTTGCATCTCGGCACTGGGTGTGTGATCTGGGAGCCTCCTTATTGGAGCCTGCAGAGCCTGGGTTCACGTACCCAGCCTGTCCTGTTTGCTGATGGTGATGGCAGAGCCCACCTAGGGGTTGTGTGGGGCACAAGCCATTCACACACACAGCTGGGGCTGTCCTGGCCTATTCTGGTGTTCAGAAGGTGATAGACACTATTGTGCATTAGCTCTCACCCCCTTGGCCCCCCCCTCTTGACTTCATGGGGTGTTTTCCTCTGCTGAGCCTCAGCTCCTGGGAACCGAGTGGGGTGCACTGGGGCTAGGAGCATTTCCCACAGCAGAGCCATCCTGCGGCCTGGGTATCTCTGACTCTCTCTGCTCTGTCCACCCTGGCTTCTGTGTGCTGACCACCCGGGTCTGCAGTCCTTGCCTGTGCCATCTGCCCTCCCCTCTGCCTGGGACTTCTCACTTCGTGTTGAGCATGTGGTCTCATCTATGCTCAGTGGTGCTCGTCATGGGTCCTTATCACCATTTGCTGGGCCCTGGGATGAGGACCAGGGCAGTGAGTCTGCCCTTGTGGTCACGAGGGAGCAGTGTCCCAGGGACAGGTAGCACTGACCCTGCTGCACTTTTCCGTTGGGAGTACCTGCTTTCTGTACCATTAAGTGTGTTTCTAGTCACTCTGCCTTCCTGCCTTCTCACCCCTACCAAAGTCCTGGGTGGTGCCAGTGGGCAGTGTCCTTACCCACAGCTTCCCCTGGTGTCCCCTGGATGTCTGACCACTCCCTGCTCCGGTGCCGCCTCCCTGGTTCCAGTACTGCTCTTATGAGCTGAGTGACTGTGCTGTCTCAGGGTGGGGGTGTCAGAGTGTGGTTTGTGGCAGGCTTTTCTTGCACTTGGCCTGTGGTGACTGCCACAGTGGATGGGGACATTGCCTTGCACCCCTCTCTGTCCCACATGAGGCCTCTGCATAGGTGAGCCTGAGGTGGGCTGGTGCCAAGACCCCGCTGGGACCCAGCTGCCTCTCAGCCCCACGATCAGGCCTCATGGCCAGGCCTCCAGGCCACACCGCCCCAGCCTGTAAGTCTGTCCATCCTGGATTGAACTGCTCCTCCTTCTGGTCTGGTCTCTCCCTCTTCAGGAAGTTTCTGAGCCTCCCTTTCTCCCGCCTCTGCCTGTCAGGTGCTCTGTTGCTGTGCCCGGCGGGGCCTTGTGTGGGCCCTGTTGAGAGTACTGGGCAGTGCCTGCCTGATGGGCCCTTCCCTGAGCCAAGGGAGGAACGTCTGGGAAGGACAGGTCCTTCAGGGAGGGACTTGAGGACAAGGTTGCTCAGAGCTGTCGTGATGGGAAGAGAGGGGGCACTGGGGAGAAAGCCCCGGCCTCTGAGCCCTGAGCCTTCCTACTTCGTGGGGGCCCCGTGGCCTGGTTCTGGGGCAGGGCTGGGGGTGGCACTTGCCTGGACCAGACAAGGGCTCTTTGTCTCCCAAGATCAGGGTCTTGTACTGACCTCTCTTGGCTCCAGGGTTCAAGTGATGGGTCGTGGTGGGAATCTCTGGCCTGTAGGCTCCCTCAGGCCTGGGGCCAGGTCTGAGCCTTCTCTCTGCTATGCCCCCAGTGCCCAGCCCCAGAGCCAGGGTCACCACGCTGTCCAACCCCATGGCGGCCTCGGCCTCCAGACGGACTGCGCCCCGAGGTACCGTACCAGGGGCTCCTCCCTCACCTGGCGCTGATGGCCCCCAGCGTGAACTGAGTTGTCTTGGTCACTAATGTCTCCCTCCATACTTGACACTAACAGCCCCTTTGTGACACACAAGCAGAACTGATTCTCCCTCTAGCCGGGTTACTTACCTGCCCGACACCCAAGTCCTGCCCCAGATACTAATGTGGCCACCCTTGCGTGTCTCAGCATCTGTGTGGTCCAGCCCGTCTCCCTCGCACAGCCCCACTGGGGGCCCATTGACCACCCCACCCTGGCCTAGCGCTCAGCCTCTCCCTGGAGGCTGGGCCGGCCCGAGGTAAGTGGTGCCTTGGCCCTGCTCCGGGGCTCACCTGGTCTCTCCTCTGCAGGTAAGTGGGGCAGCGTTCGGGCTAGCGGGCGCAGCAGTGGGCTCACTACTGATGTAGGCTCCCGGCTAGCCAGCAGAGATGGCCTAAGCCCACCTCAGGCCAATGGGGCCCCTCCTGACCCAGGCTTTCTGCGGCCCCAGCGTGCAGCCCTCTACATCATTGGGGATAAAGCTCAGCTTAAGGTGACTAAGGTGGGGGGACAGGGCCAGGTGGGGGCATTTAACAGGGCATGTCTCATGGTGCCTGGCTGGCTCCTCTAGGGTGTGCGGCAGGACCCCCTACAGCAGTGGGAGTTGGTGCCTATCGAGGTGTTTGAGGCGCGGCAAGTGAAAGCCAGTTTCAAGAAGCTGCTCAAGGCCTGCGTGCCAGGCTGCCCTGCCACTGAGCCTGGCCCAGCCTCCTTCCTGCGCTCACTGGAGGACTCGGAGTGGCTGATCCAGGTTTGTGCCCAGCCCCTGGCCCTCTGCCTGAGTGCTAGGCTAGAGCTGTGGAAGGGCTCTGGCTTTGCTTGTCTGACAGTCAAGGGGACCAGGAGGAGGATCTGACAGCCACTTCCCACATGGGGTCACCGTGCCTGGGAGACAGCTAGGTGCTGGTTGTAGAGGATGGGTGCGTCTGCAGTGCATGTGGGTGTTAGGGCAGCCTGCTGGGCTCAGGAGGCAGATGTCCTGTGCAGATTGTGGCCTCTGGGCGCTCTATTTCTATTCTCTCGTGAGGCGAGGGGCGGGCACTGGGTCACTGGTGTGTGGTACACTTGATAGGGCTTGAAGGCTCGGGCAGTTGTGAACCTTAAGGACCCCTGAATCTGCCTCCTCATCCTGGGGGCCCAGGAGGGGTGGGCTGTGGCAGGCAGCTGTTAAAAGCAGACAGGCAGAGTGTCTGTCAGTGCTGTGCTGACCCTGTGCCATGGATGCTGCCAGCCTCTTGTGGGTCAGGCTGAGTCAGGATTGGGTCTAAGGGCAGCCTGTCCTGCAGATCCACAAGCTGCTGGAGATCTCAGTGCTGATAGTGGGGCTCCTGGATGCGGGCTCCTCTGTCCTGGTGAGCCTGGAGGATGGCTGGGACATCACCACTCAGGTGCGTGGCAGGTGCAGGGGTGGGGTGGGGCAGGGTCCTTGGATGCCACCCTGACCGAAGGTGGTGCTGCAGGTGGTGTCCTTGGTGCAGCTGCTCTCAGACCCCTTCTACCGCACGCTGGAGGGCTTCCGCCTGCTGGTGGAGAAGGAGTGGCTGTCCTTTGGGCATCGCTTCAGCCACCGCGGGGCCCACACCCTGGCCGGGCAGAGCAGTGGCTTCACACCTGTCTTCCTGCAGTTCCTGGACTGCGTGTACCAGGTGGGCAGATAGCCGTGTGGGCAGGCCTGGGCTGTGCTCCTTGATCTCTGACCTCTGACCTCTGACCCCGGAGCTCTGCTGCCCCTAGGTTCACTTGCAGTTCCCCATGGAGTTCGAGTTCAGCCAGTTCTACCTCAAGTTCCTCGGTTACCACCATGCATCCCGCCGTTTCCGCACCTTCCTGCTTGACTCTGACTATGAGCGCATTGAGCTAGGTAGGTGAGGGTTGGGGGCCTCAGGTGGGTGTGTGGTGGGTGGGGCTCGGGCTCAGCACTGCCTCTGTGCAGGGCTGCTATATGAGGAGAAGGGTGAGCGCAGGGGCCAGCTGGTGTGCAGGTCTGTGTGGGAGTATGTGGACAGACTGAGCAAGAGGACACCCGTGTTCTACAACTACATGTATGCACCTGAGGACACAGAGGTGAGCTGGGGCCTGGCTGGGGCAGGCAGCTTCTGTGCAGCCTAGCTTTGTAACCCTGAGCTCGCCCCTAGGTCTTGCGGCCCTACAGCAACGTGTCCAACCTGAAGGTGTGGGATTTCTACACGGAGGAGACGCTGGCTGAGGGGCCCCCCTATGACTGGGAACTGGCCCAGGGGCCTCCTGAGCCCTCAGAGGAGGAACGGCCGGACGGTAGTGCTCCACAGAGCCGGCGCCGTGTGGTGTGGCCGTGCTACGACAGCCGCCCTCGAGTGCAGCCCGATGCCATTTCACGCCTGCTGGAGGTGCGTGTTACACAGAGCAGGGCCCGGCCTGGCACCTCTTTCCTCTTGCTAAATGCTAGTGGTGCCTTGGGGGCTGTCAGTCCAGTTCTTAGTGCTGGGGTGGCCGTGGCTCCCCTGGGTCCCTGCCCCGTGCCAGGTGGATGTTTGCAGACAGTCCTGGAGGGAAGGCTCTTGTCACAGGCCCCCGGGTCTCAGGACAGCTGCTGCTCTGGGCACATGTGCTTCTGACCAGGTGTGTTAGTGTCTTGTCACTGTAACAAAATACCAGAGAAAGGCTAACTGTAGAGAGGTGTATCTCGCTCCACTCGGGAAGCCCAATGGCATGGTGTCTGCAGGAGCTCAGGGTTTGGTGGGGGCTCTCCTCACTGCATCATACCATGGCATAGGGCAGTGGCAGGAGTATGGGTGGGACCAAGGCTCATTGCTCTCAGAACTAACTCAGGGTCCCCCGAGAAGTATCTCACTCCCTCCCGGGGCACTGCTCCAAAACCCAAGGGCCTCCCACTGGGCTCCATATCTCAGGTTTCACCGTCTCCCAGTGCCACCCTCCTGAGGCCCAGGTTTCCACACCTGGGCTGTTGGGAGAAAAACCACACCCCACGGCACCTGGCTTCGAGTGGGTCAGGCAGGACCTATGTGTCAGCCTTCAGGGAAGACAGGGTTTTCCTAGGAACTGTTCCTCACCTCTGGGAGGCTCTGTCCTAGTGAGCAACATCTCTTTTGGGTTCTTCCCCTAGACACCTGCAGTTGACCTTCAGGTCTCTGTTGACCTCACTCGGCCATCCTGCACATCCTCAGGAGCCGGGATTAGACAGGGCAGAGAGCCATCCAGTGAGTTTGTGGCAGTTGGGGGTAATGGCCAGGGCAGGGCAGAGGCTGGCATGTCTTACCTGGGGCACTGCCACCATAGTCTTTCACAGGGGCTGAGTGTTCAGAGGGTGTGGGCCTCTGACCCTGACTGTGAAAGGATTTGCACTATGCCCCAGTGCTGGCTGTGTGGCCTTGGAAATTACCTGTCCATTTTAGAGCTTATTTCCTCACGTGGAAAATGGGGCCACTGGTTTTTGCCTCACTGGGAAGTGGTGAAGTTTGAGTGAGTAAATATACAAGTATGTGACCTTGTGTGGGGCCTGGCCCAGAGCACCTGTTTGTTACTCAGGGGTCAGGACACAGGGAGTCATAGTTCTGTTGATAAAGGGGACCCACAGGCACAGACTACAGGAGAGGGGCCCTCTTTCTCTCTGATAATCTCCAGTATCTTTTTGTTTATTTGTTTATTTATTTATTTTTTTTTTGAGATAGGTCTGGCCTTGAACTTGCCATGTAGCTGAGGGAGGCCTCATATGTTGTAGATCCTCCTACCTCAGCCTTCTGAGTGCTGGGATCATGGGAATGCACCACCATGCCTGGTTACTCCTTAGGACTACTACTTTTTTTTGTTTGTTTTCCGGTACCAGGAATCAAACTCATAACCTTGCACTTGCCAGGTAGGCGCTGTGCCACTGAGCTAAATCCCCAGCCCTATTTTATTTTTTTTGAGACAGGGTCTTGCTATGTAGTTTAGGCTCACCTTGAACTTACTATGTAGCCCAGGGTGGCCTCAGAGTCATGGTAATCCTCCTGAGTGCTGGGTGGTCTGATGTTAATGGAGCCACTTAGTTTTTTTGATTAATTTTTGAGATGAGGTCTCATTATGTAGTTGAGGCTGGGGCGCCCACCTGGCTGGGCCCTATGGAGGGGCCGCTCGCCTGCCTGCCCAGAGCTTACATGGGGTTGGTGAGCAGCGAAGGGCTGGGGCTGGGGCTTCCTGCTGTGAGTGCCGCCGGACTGGAGCCCTGGCCAAGACGACTTTGTTTTCCCCTGCGCCACCCTGATGCCACATGGAAGTTCACCAAGAGCCCCCCAACTCGGGCTGTGACCTGGTCTGTGGGCTCTGCATCTTTCTCTGCCCCTCAGAGGCTTCCATATGGTGCCTGGCTAGCTGGATTTCTTGCCTGAAGCATTTCCATCTCATACTCGAGACAACAGAACTGGTTAGAATGGTCATCTGCTTTTACACAGATGGTGCCTTGGGCTTTCTCATCTATGGGCTTGTTCCTTTACGAGGTGTGCTTTCTGGCTGTGAGTGTGCATTCCTTAAGCCATGTTGCCTCTACTCATGAAGCCCCAACTGCTTCTTTTTTTGCGGCGGGGTCCGGGGGTGGGGGGGGGGGGTGGGAGGGGTGTTCCGGTACTGGGAATCGAACTCACGACCTTGAGCTTGCCAGGCAGGCGCTGTGCTGCTGCGTTGCATCCCCAGCCTCCACAACTGCTTCGTGACGGTGCATCCAGCCTCCCCACCCGCTGCACATTCTCTTGCACCGCACATACTTTCTCTCAAGTCTGTTCTTACCTAACGCCCCACCCCCCCAAGCTGCTTTCCTTGGGGTCTCTTTTTCAAGACAAGCAAATTAAATACTTTGAAGTAATGACTAAAACAAAAACGATTCTTTAGAATAAAACACAGTGGTTTGGACCAAAAAAAAAAGAAAAGTAGTTTAGGCTGGCCCCGAACTCAATGCAGTCCTCCTGCCTAAGCCTCCAAAGTTCTGGGGGATTACCAGCATGCCCAACGACTGTTTTTTTTTTTTTTTTTTGGTTTTTGTTTTTCTCCGGTACCGGGAACCGAACTCACGACCTTATGCTTGCCAGGCAGGCACTTTGCCGCTGAGCTAAATCCCCAGCCCCCGACTGTTTTTTTAATGACATACACATCATGTGTTATTTTTTGTCAACTTTGTCTTAAAGAAATTAAGAAACAAGGGGGCATGGTGGTGCATGCCTATAATCCCAGCACTCAGGAGGCTGAGGCAGGAGGATCACCATGAGTTGGAGGCTAGCCTGGGCTACATAGTGAGACTTTGTCTCAGAAAGAAAAAAAAAACAACCTAGAGGTTTACCTATAACTATACGCTGTGAAACAAGGAAAAAGCTTTTTATTTTAGCCATTTTGAATATTCATTTTTTTCTGTGAAGATTGGTCTGGTATCATTTCAGTCTGAAGAACTTTTAATATTTCTTGTAATGTAGATTTGTTAGGAACAAATTCCCTCAGGTTTTACCTGAAATGTCTTCATTGTACATTCATTCATTTTTGCAGTGCTGAGGATTAAAACCAAGATCCTTACACATGCTAGGCAAGCGGTCAACCACTGAGGCGTAACTCTTAACTCCTCACTTAGTTAACAGACTGGGTCTCATTAGGCTAGGCTGGGCTTGAACTCCTGGGCTCAAATGATCATCCTATCTCAGCCTCCTGAGTAGTTTGGAATACTGATGTGTGCCACCATGGGGGGCGGGCACTGGGGATCGAACCCAGGGCCACATGCATGCTAGGCAGGTGCTCTGCCACTGAGCTACACCCCAACCCATGCGGTGTTATTTTTATTTATTTATTTATTTTTGAGACAGGGTCTTGCTAAGTAGTCCAGACTGGCCTCGAACTCACTATGTATCCCAGGCTGGCCTCAAAGTTACAGTAATCTTCCTGGCTCAGCCTCTGGAGTGCTGGGATTACAGACATGCCACTATTCCCGGGCTCTGTTAATTTTAAAAGGGCATCTTCTCTGAATATAGAATTCTGGGTTGACAGTTTTTGCATTTAGTAGTTTAAAGATGGCACTCTTATTTTCTGCCTTGCATTGCTTCTTACTAGAAGTCATATCCTTATACACTCTGTAGTGTCACCTTTTTTTCCTCGGTAAGATTTTTGTCTTCATCTCAGTTTCAGCATGTTAGCCATCATGTGCCTTTTGGGGTTCATCCTGCTTTGGGGCTCCTTAAGCTCCTTAAATCTGTGGGCTGATCACTTTAATATATTTTAGACTGTTGCTTCTAAATTTAATTTCTTTTCTGTGCAGTCTCTCCCTCCTTTCCGTCTAATATTGTCCCACAGGTTATAGAGGTTCTGTTTCCTTTTTTCCTTCAATCTCTTTTTTTTCTCTGCAGTTCATTTTGGATGATTTCTGTTGCCTTATATTCAAGTTCTCTGCTCTTTCATTTCAAATACTGTACTTTTCAGGTGAGCATGGTGCAGATGCCTGTAATCCCAGCACTCAAGAGGCTGAGTATCTTAGTTACTTTTCTCTCATTGTTGAGACAAAATACCCGATACCCAAAGTTAAAGGTGGAAAGGTTTATTTGGCTCACGGTTTGTAGAGGTTTCTGCTGGCTCCAAGGCAGGATGGCACAACAGAGGGGCATCGCAGAGGAGAAACAGCTCATGGTGGGCAGAAGATAGCAAAGCAAGGGTTGACCACAGCTCTTTCTGTCCCTTTTATCCTATCCTGGCTACTTAGGGCCGGTAGCACTCACACCCTTAATCCTAGTGCCCTTGATCCTAGTATTGACATGAATGGGTCCCAGTGTCACACACTCTGGATCCAGCCACCACTGAAAAGGCCACACCTATGACCACATGAGGCTTTGGGAGACATCTAGACACAAGCTGCAACACTGAACAGGAGGATTGCTACAAATTCAAGACCAACCTGGAGTATGTAGTGAGTTCAAGGCCAGCCAGAACTACATAGTGCGACCCTGTCTCAAAAAACAAACAAAGGGGCTGGGGATTTAGCTCAGCGGCAAAAAGCGCCTGCCTGGCAAGCGCAAGGTCGTGAGTTCGGTTCCTGGTACCGGAGAAAAACCAAAACCCCCCCCAAAAAAAAAACAAAAAAAAACAAACAAAAACCCCCCAAATACTGTACTTTTCAGTCCTGAAATTTTTTTCTCTTTCCCACTATTGATGATTGAACCTAGCTCAAATATACTGAGCCACATCTCCAGCTCCTCTTTTAATTTTGAGACAGGATCTTGCTAAGTCACTAAGCAAGGCTGTCCAGGCTGGGCTCAAACTTACGATCCTTCTGCTTCAGCCTTCCAGAGTGCAAAGATTATAGGTATGCATAAAAGTTGTACTTTTAACAAACCTACTATGTGTGTGTGTGTGGTGCTAGGGATAAACCTAGGGGCTCACACATGCTAGGCAAGCACTCTACCACTGAACTATGTCTCTAGCTTTTTTTTCTTTTTTCTTTTTTCTTTTTTTGTCTGAGACAAGGTTTCACTGTACAGTTCAGGCTGGCTTTGAACTCACTCTGTAGCCTAGGTTGGCCTCGAACTCAGTGATCCTTCTGCCTCGGCCTCCTGAGTGCTGAGATTATGGGCGCATGCCACCACACTTGGCTAGCCTGGTTTTTTAAAAACTTTTTATCAGATTTCCCCATCTGTTTAACCATTATATTAATTTTTTCCTTTAAGCCTTGAGACATGTTTATAATAACTTTTTATTTATTTATTTATTTATTTATTTATTTATTTATTTATGGTCTTTTTGAGACAGGGTCTCGCTATGCAGTTCAGGCTGGCCTTGAGCTCACTTTGTAGCCCAGGCTAGTCCTGAACTTGCAGTGATCTTCCTGCCTCAGCCTCCCGAGTGGTGGGATTACAGGCAGGCACCACCACGCCTGGCGTAACTTCTAAATTTCTTGTGTATTAGTTCTAACACTGATTTTATTTGAGTCTGTATCTGTTTCATTTCCTTTGCTGCTTTTCTAGTCTTTTATTGTAAGTTGGACATTGTGAATCGCTGTATTGTTGAGGACCAGGATTATGCTGTCCTCCTTTAAAGAGTCTTGGGTTTTTTCTTGCTTGTGGTTAGCGAGTCTGCTGCAACTCTGTGAACTCCAGTGTTGGAGGAGTTCTCCTAAAGCAGGGCTTTTCTGGAAGTGTCCTATCTTCAGTGAGATCTCATTGCTCTGTATTTAGAGTTCTGACATCTGCTAGTGTTATGTAACCTCACAGGCCCTCTAGGTGTTCTCTATCAGGCCTTGTGACATCTTGCTTTGCCTAGGGTGGCTTAATTTGGCCAAAGGCTGTGGCAGCCTCTGTAGGTTTCTGGGCTCCTCCATGGTACTCCCTCTCACGTAGCCCCCAGCAGCTCCCCTTGCTCTAGCACCCTGAACTTCCTTTCACTGCTGCCTCAGCTCAACAAGGCTGCTTCCTCCACCTCCCTGCACTCTGGGCAGACAGACAGTTGGATCGGTTGTAGGCTCATTTTGTGCTGCACTCACTGCTAGTTGTCCAACATCTGGAAACCATTGTTAGCTTTTTTCTTTTCTTTGATATAGGGTCTTGCTGTGTAGTTCAGCCTGGTCTTGAACTCACTGTGCAACCCAGACTGGCCTCAAACTCGAAGCAGTGCTCTTGTCTCAGGCTCCTGAGTGCTGGGCTTACAGGAATGCACTATCATGCCCAGTTTTGTCTGCTGTTCTTGCCCAGTTTCATACCTGTGTGTTTCTGGAGAGCTAGAGACTGATCTGCCTGACTTGGCTGGAAACGGAAGTCACCCATGTCTCTGTTTTGAAGTCATCTGACAGTTTTATGTTGCTCTTCTGAGGAAAGCATCTTTTTTTTTTTTTTTTAACTTTTTTTTCTTATTTTTGTATTGGGGATTGAGCCCAGAGCCTCATGTGCTAAGCATGTGTTCTACCAGTGAGCTATACCCTGCTATGTGTGTGATGCCTTGGTTTGGAAAATTTTTCAAGTTTTTCCCCCCAAATACTGATTTTTTTCCCTATTCCTTTTCTCTTTCCTTTTCCCACTCTTGCCTTCTTTATTGCAGTTACACATTTTAGATTTTTTTCACTATATCTCTTTCTTCTTCTTGTCTTTTCATGCTCCATTCTTGATATTTTCTTTTTTGTTTGTTTGGTTTTTGTTCTTTTGAGACAGGGTCTGCTTTGTAGTGCAAGCTGGCCTTGAACTCACAGTGGTGATCCTCCTGCCTCAGCCTCCCCAGTACTAGGATTATAGGTGTGCACCACCACGCCCAGCTGGATATTTTGAGTAGCCTTTCTCAATGTTTGCTGATCGCCCCCAGGAGCTGCAGCGGCTGGAGACAGAGCTGGGCCGACCTCCTGAGCGTTGGAAGGACACCTGGGACCGTGTGAAAGCCGCTCAGCGCCTAGAAGTTCGGCCAGATGGACGTGTGAGTAAGGCAAGTGGGGCCAGGGTGAGTGTGTTGCCTGAAGTCATCTGACCTAGGCCCCTCTTTTCTGGCCCCAGGGCACCCCCAGCTCTCTGCTAGTGTCCAGCGTGCCTCACCACCGCCGCTCGCTGGGCGTGTACCTGCAGGAGGGGCCTATGGGCTCCACCCTGAGTCTCAGCCTGGACAGTGACCAGAGTAGTAGCTCTACCACATCTGCCCGCCAGGCTGCCCGCCGAAGCACCAGCACCCTGTACAGCCAGTTCCAGACAGCCGAAAGTGAGAACAGGTACAAGGGCTGCTGCCTGCCATTGCATGGGCCTCACGAGCTGAGCCTGGGGGGCAGGTGATTTCTCAGGTGGGAGACAGGTGCAAGTGCCTTAGGAGGTTAGTCATTTCATTGGCTGGAAAGACTTGAGAGAGGTGGAGCTGGTGACTGCAGCAGGGCTGAGGGACAGGGGTCCTGGGGTACTTATCAGGTAGGGCAGGCACAAGGTGAGCTTGGTATGTACACGCTGTATGGTTACCTGGCAGACCTGCATGCCGAGTGTCCCTCTTTGTGGATGTCTGCCCTGTGCATAAGGCTGCTTCCCTGAGACCCAGGGTTCTGGTGTCCTGGGATCTAGCAGCTCACATTGACTGTAAGGAGGGACCCTTTCTTTTTATCCTGGAGAGTGCCCCCTACCCTCAAGCCTGCAGCTCCAGGCTACCTCATGGCTATAGCCTTATTAGGTCCAGTTCTTGGGGCACAGGGGCATTGGGTCTGCCCAGCAAGGACAGCAGGTGGGGCAATTGCTGGGCTGGGCACTGAGGTGGCCCGGTCCTGGCTCTGCAAGTGCAGGTCCTACGAGGGCACCCTGTATAAGAAGGGGGCCTTCATGAAGCCCTGGAAGGCCCGCTGGTTCGTACTGGACAAGACCAAGCATCAGGTGAGCAGTCAGTGGCTGGGAGGTGGAGACCAATGGGGCAGGGGCAGTCATGACTTTGTGTCCCCATTCCAGCTGCGTTACTATGACCATCGTGTGGACACAGAATGCAAAGGTGTCATTGACTTGGCGGAAGTGGAGGCTGTGGGGCCAGGCACACCCACCATGGGTGCCCCTAAGACTGTGGATGAGAAGGCCTTCTTTGACGTGAGCCTAGGGTTTGGGAGATGGAAGGGAAGGGCCTGCAGCGTGGGGGCCAGGGAGAGAGCAACCTACCCCTTCCTAGGTGAAGACGACGCGTCGCGTTTACAACTTCTGTGCCCAGGACGTGCCCTCAGCCCAGCAGTGGGTGGACCGGATCCAGAGCTGCCTGTCGGACGCTTGACCTCCCAGCCCTGCCCAGGCTGCTCTGCTTCCAGTCACTGCAGACCACTAGGGGTGGGCAGGCCGCCCCGGCCATGTTTACAGCCCCGGCCCTCGACAGTATTGAGGCCCTGAGCCCCCAGCACTTGTGTACAGCCCCCGCCCCGCCCACCGCCTGCCCGGCCGGCTCTAACTTATTGTGGTGTCATGGCTGAGCACCGTGCCGGGACATGGCCATGGTACAGCCCTGTGACGGGCCTGTAAATAGTCCACCCCTCAGCCCCGCCTGTGTGCTGGCCCCGGCCGGCCAGCCGCAGGTAGTTTCTAGAACAGAGTCTATATAAAGAGAACTAACGGTGTGCTTGTGTTCCTGCCTCACCCCACACCAGCTGTCAGCCCGGGGCCCAGAGTCCGTGCCTGCTCAGACGGTACTGGTCCCCTCCCAGGCCCACCACGTGGCTGAAGGGAGCAGCTATGCTGTGGGAGGGGCTTCACCAGGCCACTGGCTTCTCCCAGCTAACCGTGGTTTTGGGGTTGCCATGCCCGCAAGGAAGGGCCCCTCATCCCTGGTTAGCAAAGGGGGGGTGGTGTATAGTGAAGAGCGGGGACACTAGTCACTTGCCCATTGGGTTCACAGGACAAACGCCAAGCCCAGGAGGGCAGAGGGAACAAGAGTCCTCAAGGGAGCAGCACACTGCCTGGCAGTGAAGGGGTGACACCCAGACACCTGGCAGTCTCAGTTCTCAAGAATTTTGCTGCAGACACCTGTCCAGCTCCGTGCCCCGGGGTCTCATTGTGGGACCCAGTTACCCATTTCAGGGCTCTGCCCTCCTTGTTCACCTGCGTCTCACTGGACTGGACTTGAGCAGCCCGTACGATTGCTGTGTCTCGGCAGCCAGTGGTGGTGGAAGTGTGGCTGCTGCAGAGGTTGGTGTTGGCGGGGCGCTGAGGGTGGTAGCCTCTGGGGGGCTGACCAGGGGCTGGTTTTGCAGGGCCAGCCCGAGGCTGCCAGAGGCTGGGAGGTGAGCACCAGTGTGTCAAGGGGAGACTCCAGATGCGGGGCTTGATGCTGAGAAACCACAGACCCCATCAGCCTCAATGCTGTGCTGGGGCCACACTCTCCTCCCAGAGTTGGACAGTGGGTTGCTAAGTGCCCAGGAGCCTCCTGGAGCCCAGTGGAAGGGCTCTTTCCTCCTGATTTCATGTTCTGGGGTAAGAGGTGAGAGCTGGGAGATGAGCTGAAGGCACTTGGTTGCCTGGGGGGGCCACTGAGGACAGGATGGGATGCTGCTGGGAGGCTCCAGCTAGCCTTGGGTAGGGGCTGCCTGACCCTCTGGCTGTCACTTGGTGGCCAGTCCTTCCTAGTAGGTGAGGCTGGGGTTCCATGGCCCCTCCTGTTCGTGTTTCCCTTCTCAGCTTTAGCTGGAGCTTTTCTTTCTTAAACACAAAGCTCAGTGTCTACTTCAGCACAGAGACCCACTGCGCATGTGGCCTGCCCCCACCCTCGTCACACAGGGTAGACCTGAGGAATGGCAGAAAAGGTGCTCGAAGAGAAACCCCACCTGCTGGGCTGGGGCAAGGGCCTAGAGCTTAACAGTACACGGGTTTGACAGTAAGAAGGGTGCAACTTTTATTGGGGTGCCCTGTCAGATGATCTCAGAACATTAAAAGACTCAGGTCAAAGACAACTCAGACCTTTCTAGCACGGGTCCAGCCTGGTGCCCCTAATCCCCTGCTGGGCTGCTCTGGTTCCTGATGTTTGTTCCTGCCAGTTCTACCTGGCACATGCCCACTGGGACATCCCCACCAGGCCCAGAGGAGTTGTAAGGCAGTGAGAATTTCCATGCTGGTTCAGTGCCAGCTCCCAGGGCCACTAGGCGACTGTGACCGTAGGGTCTGACCCCATATGGCCAGAGCAGCTCCTGACCCCTGTATATTTACGGGGGTCACGTCTTCCCCAACCCAGGCCCTCACCTCTGCCCTGAGCCAGGGGAGATCCTGTGCTGCAGCTGGATACAAAGTGTAAAACTCAGTTCTTCCTGCTTATGTTAAAAATGATCAGTGAAAACCAAGTCCCGGTGTCCGCACCCTTCCTGCCCATCGAGTCCTGGTGGCATCTCAGGGTCTAGGCTGTCCCAACTGCTGCAGGCAGAGGTCAGACACCTGAGACTTTATTGCTGCGGTGGGGCCTGGGCTTGGGGCAGCCAGCTGCCTCCTCATCCTTGAGCAGCACTGAGTGATGGCCAGGCAGCAGAGACGCAAGCTGGGTCATCCAACTGGTTCCAACTGCCAGCTTTACCAATGCAGCATTTATTTTAAAATTAAATTAAAAAAAAAAAACAAATTGCATCACCAGGTAGTTTTCTGATTAAGGATGCAGCCTGGCCAGGGTGGCCATGGCTGGTGGCAGCAGCGTTACACAGGACCATTTAAGGCGGCAGCTCCTGGCGGGGCATCTGTCTCCCTGCAGAAATAAGGTGGGGTTGGAGCCCTTGGGCGTGCCAGGCCCTCTAGTCCCACCTTACCTTTCTTGTCCCACTCTCACCTGTCCTTTGTCACAGTCCCCAGGGTGGCCACTGTGGCTGGGGCTGTGGTAACCTCCACGATGGGCCCCGCAGGGACAGCTACAGCCACTGCAGTACATACTGCCGGGTGAGCCGGGGGAAGACTTGCCTTGTCCAGTGCTGGGGTGGCCATGGTCGCCTCCGGAGACACAGCCATGGCCAGGGCAGAGGTCACTTTTGAGGGCACAGGGCAGGCAGAGTCTGGCGGTGTGCTGCCCACACACTCAGCCCTGAGTAGCAGATGTGGGCTTCAGTTAGGAGTACCCTAACCTCAGTGCTGGTCCAGAAGCATAGCACTTGCCTCCCACCACTCCTGCCCTCTGTGGGTTGGCCCAGAAGCCATGCCTAGCTAGGTGGCTCTGCTGCTGTGTCCCAAACACCAAGATAAGCTGCCTGCCTACTGACCTTGGTCCTCCCAAGCAGTGCACAGACCCTGTAAGGTGCCACACTGTCAAAGCCCTGGGTGCCTCTGCTGTGTGACCATAACTCCAGCCTTGCTCCAGGCAGGAGGCGACAGAGCCACCACAAGGGCAGCAGAGGAAAGAGATTGGCAGGGAAGCACCCTAAGACCAGATCCTACCACCACCACCACCACCACCAGCAGATGGGCACTCTGATCTCCTGATCTGTCCCAGGGAGGGGCACTCAGAGGGCAGTAGCGTGGCAGGGAGAAATCCCCCCACGGGCTGGCTGGGACCACTGCAGTGGTACAGGGTAACTGGGAGGTTTTAGGGATAGCCATGGAGAAAGGTAGCCAACTTTGTAGAATGACACCTTTTTACAGCTATTAAGCAGGTCTTAGGAAGTACTTCAGGGAAGAAGGTAAAGGTTTTAAGAATGTTAGTGATTCTGGCACTTAGGAGACTGAGGCAGGGGGATTACCACAAGTTTGAGGCCAACCTGGGCTACATAGTAAATTCAAGGCCAGCCTGAATTACATACTAAGACCCTGTTTCAGTACCCCTCACACACACAGAGTTTTAGTGATTCTAAATTTAAGAAAGTCATTCTACTCAAGCCCTATGGGCACTCCCAACCCAAGATCAATCATGGTGCTGCACTGACAGGTATGTGGGGCCCACTATCCTGGCGCTGTGCCTGCCCCTGCTGCAAATCCTCTGGGGCAGGTGGTAGCTCCAACAGGCCATCCCTGTCTAGGGAGGGTCCTTGGGACATGGCCTAGGACAGTGGTGGACATATGGCATATGTGCCACAGCACAACCGGCTGTTATTGAAAGCTCTAAAAGGTTTCTTGGGGGTAGTGTGGGGGTTGAACTGAAGCCAGCACTACTGGCGACCCTCCAGGACCCAGCGTAGGGGGAAGCCATGCCTAAAGGGGAGTGGGAGGGCAGGCCAGGATGCAGGCCTGAGGCCTCTGCATGCTGGAGGGACTATGGGCAGTCAGGCTGGGGGCCCTCAGGGGCAGTACTTGGGAACCACAAGTGCAGTTGGCTCAGAGTAGGCACAAAGGTCCTCCCCTGGATACAGGGCTTTGTGAGGCTCGCACCTCATCGCCTCCTGACAGGCTTCAGCCACAGGGACATTCCTCATTGTACTTTGAACCTACGGGGAAGACCTGTGACGCAGCCTGTTTCCATTGTCAACTCCTAGCTCTTAACTCCACCTCACCAAAGACTCAGGGATCTGTTCCCTAATGGATTCCAGGGACTTTCCTGCAGGGGTGAGATGGATGGTGCTGACCTTGTAGGAAGATGGCCCTGTCCTGAGCCCTAGAAAGGGCTCTGGGGCACCTCAAGGGACTATCTACAAGCTGCATGACTTCCAAGTCAGGGTCTGAGCCCTGGTGCGCAGTCCTGAGACACGCCCAGTTTCCTGAATGAACCAGGTACCAGAGTGGAGGTGGGCATACACCATGTGGCCAGTACAGGTCTCCAGCAAGGAAGCAGTAGGTGAGATTTAGGAGCCCCACAGACATGCACCTGCCCCTCCCCCACCACCCTGGGCAACCCCAGACTCAGCATCCTGAGAATCCAGCTGTTCTCAGCAATCAGGGCCCCTATAGTTGGGGGGCCCTTCCTGAGACACAGCCTGTCTCCTCAGCCACTCACAACAGAGAAAGCAGGCTCTGTGGCAAGGGAAGAAACCTGTACCTTGTCCAGCCTCACTGCCATGCACAGGTGTTACTGTGCCCTGGCATGACCTGGGTACACAAGGCCACCAGGGTGGCAGGGAGGAACCCTGGCCTAGTCTCCACTTGTTCCTAGGGGAGCTGAAAGCTGAAGGCACAGTGGGCACTAGCTAGGAGCCCCAGGGTGTGGTGCCGCTCCACACACCTGCCAGCAGCATCCTCCTTCCTGGGTGGTGAGGGCGCCTCCAGGCTAGGGCCTGAGCTCACAGTTTCTGCAATGCCAGCCGCCTTCTCCTCATCCTCACTGTCAGAGCCCCCAGAGGAGCTGCTGTCGGAGGCCACCGGGGGGGCCTTCCTGGTGACACACACATTCCAGGCACAAGGGGAGGCAGGACCAACTGCAAAACAAGGAGGCTGTGATGCTCACGAAGGCAGAAGGGCCACAGAGCGCAGTTACCACAACCTCAGGGCCCCCAAACTACCATGAGGAGCACGCAACACTTGAGACAGAAACACCTCCTGTTGGCCCACTGCGCATTACTGCATGGTAGACTCTGCACACTCGTGAAGAGCTGTGTGTCATCTGCATGGGCAGTGTCCCCACCCCAGAAGACAGGGAGACGTGTTCTTCTCAGAGAGGGCCCCTACTCAGCTTCATGGGCACTGCCACTATCTCTTCTAAGCCTGGCACCCAGGACAGAGGGGTCAGGTGGCAGTTGTCATTCTGTCTGGAGCTCTAGGCCTGGTCTTGGGGGCTTTTGAACCTGTCTGACCAAGGAATGGGAGGGTTAGGCCAGGAACTTTGATCAGGCCCCAGGTCAGCTTCCTGCCAGTGGCCCATCCTTCCCAACTTCTGTTGGGACCCCAACACTGCCGCCCAGGATACAGAGTGCAGACCTAAGCTATGCAGCTGGGTCAGACCTGGCTGTGAAGCAGCCACTGGACTTGCTGCCTCTCCTTACCCTCAGGACGGGGGTTCCACCATCTGAATATGTCCGTTTCAATCCCACAAGTGTCTCTGAACCCGATATCAGCACTGAGACATGGCTGTGGCATGGCCTTGGTCACTTCCACTAACTCCAGTGGTGGGGTTAGCTGGCCTAAACCTGGCAACTGGGCAAGGCCAGGTCCCCCAGGAGGAGGCAGATGTAGCCTGCATTGGTCCTACTCACAGGCTTTCTCTGGGCTGGGGCTCTGGCCATTCTCAGCATGGCTGTGGTCTGTGTCCACGGGAGAGCTGCACCTGGGCCCTGACTCGGAGCTGCAAATGATGATGAGGACAGGGTAAGTCCTCAGGGGTCAGTTGGCTCCAGGTCTCAACAGGCAGTCCCTGGCACAACCCTGCATGCCACCAATGCATTTATTACCAGCAGAAAGGCTGAAAGTCAGTGAACTTGGCCCAGCCTTTCTCCTCTGGGGCTGAGGCGCCAGCTGCCCACACGCTAGAACCCACATCCCTCGCAGCTCCTGGGACTGGGGCTGTCGGGTTCACTGGCTCATCAAAGACTGCAGTCCATGCAGCATCTGACAGGAGATATGGTGGTCAGGGTGAGCAGGCTGGGTGCTCCACAGAGCACAGCAGATCACAGGCTGTGCCTTGGAAGTACCACACCCCAGATGGTGCTCACCAGCACCCCCAGGAGCTCCCCACTAGAGAGGAGACTGGTCTTGAAAAGGTCTTGAAAAGCCATCCACACCCATGTGCTTGCTAACACGGTGCTCAGCAAGGCCTCTGTGGGTCCCCCTTCTGGCCTCTAGCAGGGCTCACAGTGTTGGAGGTCCTATGGCTGCACCCCACCCTGTCCCACCTAGCCCAACCCAGGATGGACTCTAACCAAGGCAGGGTCACTGGCCATGCACAAGGCACCTCTGTTCTGGACACTCTTGCCCTCAGACGCCCTTCCCTCTCCCTCATGTCCTAGCCACATCAGCACCACCCAGAGGCCACCTTGGAGGTGGAGTGTGGGGTAGGTAAGCAGTTGAATGCCTCTGAGGGTTGTCAGGTTGTGTAAGACACACAGCATCCAGACGGCATGGGGCAATCCTTAAGAGACCAGGGGGACACCAGCTGTGTAGATGCAGCTGAAAGTGACCACAACAGAGGGGACCGCTGGGAGCCACCCTGTGGTGGGCACAGCACAGAGCAAATCCCTCACCCAGGACACTGGGAGAATGGCTGGGAAGTTGTTGGTCCTGGGAACACTTGAATAAAGGTATGTACAGATGGGGACACACACTAAAGGCACAAGTAGCTGGAAATGTAGCATCTCCAAAAGCAGCCCCTGAGATGCACAGGCCAGGCACCATGTCCTGTCCTTGACACAGGGTCCCCTGCAGGCCCCCCGGCACTACCTTCTGAGTTACCCTCTGAGAAGCCTTCATTCTGTGCAAGGGCCAGGGGGGTCGCTGCTCCAGGTTTGTTCCTGTCTGCCTCTGAGCCTGCCTTCCTGTCCTGGCCTTCACGCTCCAAGCCATTCTTAGAGCAGCTTTCTGAGCTGTGTGGGGCTCCAAACCTGGAGGGACATGGGCACAGTCAGATATGCCTGGTGCCCCAGATGGACACCTAACACTGGACAGGCAGTGAGGGCCCAGGGCTTAGAGCCAAGGGTGAGCACAGGGTGTGCTTCTCTAAGCACTGCTTGCCTCCCAGACTCAGATCTGGTCTCCGTAGGAAAGAAAGGCCACCACCGCCCTGGGCCTGAGCTCTGCTTGGTGTTAAGCATGTGCTCTCAGGTTTTGGAGGGCGGGTGGGCCTCACACCTGGCTCTGGCCATCACCCGGGCAGTACTACGAGTTTCCTCATCCTCCCAGATATCCTCTTCTTCCTCATCATCAAAGGGCTGGATTCGGTCACTGCAGCAGGCTTCAAACAGAGCTGTGCTGGGCTGCAAGTTGGAGAACATGGGGACTAGTTTCTGCAGTGCCTGGGGAAGCCAAGGCCCCATGGCTCCCTATGTAGCTCAGCTCCCAAGACAGGGACCACATCTGGCTGGCAGGTGGTTCTGTACACACACACACACACACACACACACACACAGGCTCAGGGCCCATCACAACCCCACCCACCTCCAAAAACAAGGACCATGTGTGGCAAGCCTGGTCCCTCTTCTGAACAAATGGCTCTGACATGGCACATGGCCCCCAACCCCAATCACTCACGCTGTCCTCGTCTGCATCGATGTTGAAGTTGATCTCTGCAATCCTATCAAAAGGGGCACTGCAAGAACAAAGGGGATGGCCTCAGTGCTTCCTTGCTGGTGCTGGTCTAGCAAGCCTGGGTGCTCTGGAGCAGCAGGTGGACATCTGCTGTCCCCTTGGGACACCAGACAACACCCCTGTCAGGGCCACAAGGAGCTGCCTTGAGGGGTCCACACAGCAGGGAGGGAACTCATGCTACTCCCGGAGACCAAGGCCACAAGACGCCCAGGCTCACTTGATGCTGTCATCCTGGTCTGCAAACTCGTCATTGAAGCCGAACTGATCCACGAAATGGGCTGTCATCTGTTGGATCTGGTACTCAGAGAATGCCTGGGAGAAGTGGACACCACCATGAAGCACACCTCAGCCTGCCTGCTCCTTGGAAACCAGGTGGCTCTGGCAAAGCAGCTGTGCACGCCTACTGTCGGGCTTGGGAGCCATCATACTCTGGCTGCTTGCTCAGAGCAGTCACATACAAGACACTTTCCTCACTCTCTCAAGTTTAGTATCCCTTGGGACTCATCAAAGTGATGTGACGGGGAGGGTCCCCTGGGCTCCCCTCTCCCCCACATGTGCTGGGGGATGAACCACTTTCTCCTTCTATGAACTATTACTACGAGATGCCACTGGGACAATGCTACCAAGGGCACGGGCTCCAAAAAAGGGCCCGGCTGGGGGCAGAGTGCCGGCCACTCCCTCACCTGCTGAAGGGACAGCTCGTTAGGGAACGCACCCTCAATGTCCTCGTCCTCACTCGAGGAGTGAAGGTGGTGAGTGCTCACCTAAAACACAGGCCAGATGGGGTGGGCATGTGAGGTGGCTGGCACCCTGACCCCACCCAGCTGGAGTCCCAGACCCCACCCAGCCCAGCCTGGGGCCCCAGCCTGGCGCTCACCAGATCTCAGCCTGGGAAGCTGTGCTGTAAAGTGCCAATCAAGGCCAAGGCCCCGTGACAGCCCAACCTCTCTCGTGCCAGGGCACATCATAGGTCCCAGGCATAAGAAGCCCTTGGATAAACTATGGTTCCTGAGGTGGGAGGGGTAGGGACCAAGGGCCCACACCAGCTCTGCATCGAGGCCCTCAGGGAGCCAGCCCCACTAGGCACAGGAGAACCAGAGGTGGACCACCTGCACATGGACACATTGGTACACGTGCATGTGGGGTGGGCAGGCAGGCGTGTGCAGCCCCTCCTCCTTCAACCTGTCTGCAGTGTCCTTGGCTGTGGCCCCATGCCACAGGAGCTGCCGCTTCCTCACCAGGTCCACGGTATTCCTCCGGTTGGTCTCGGTCAGTGTCTCCTCTACGAAGCTCTCCCAGCGTCCACGGCAATCTGCAGGGAGCCCTGTGAGGGAAGTGCTGCCTGGTGGGCCCTCAGGACCATGTGGCCACTATGGGTACTTGGGAGCACTTCCAGGCACACCCTGAGCCAGGGAGACAAGCCATGCTCCTGTGCCCAGGCACTTGCTGACAGGAAAGAGCCCAGAACAGCTGCGTGAGGGTCCTGTGGGGTCTGAGGCCACACTGAAGATGGGATGCAGCAGCACTGAACAGGGCACTGGGCACTTTCTGGTCCCTATGGAGACTCAACAGTCACCCGAGTTCTACTCTGCTTGCTGGTGCATAATCACACCCTGCAGAAGTCCAGAAACACGTAAGTGCAGAACAACGCACCCTCCTTATCCCATCACAGTATAAGCTCAGCAGCAACCTGCAGGCTGTGTATCTGTGTTTTTCTTAGGAGGCCAAAGCCCCAGAGATTCACAATCTGGAAATAGTGAGGGATGACGCAACGAAGAGCTTCCTGTTGCTCCCTCATCTTTGCACACGCTTCATCCTAGGGCACCTTCATGGGCCTTTACCTCACTCTGCTTGCTTTGCTCCTCCAGCAGCATGGGGACCACCCACCACCAGCCTACACAGCCTCACGAGAAGCTATGGAGGCATGAGGACCATCTGGAGCTTCCTTACATCACACCTGCCCATTGCGGTCACAAAGGGCAGTCAGGGGCATCAGGGCCATGGCAAGAACCTCCCTGGCTATGTGTGCTGTACACAGCTGACTTAACCTCTGGTTAAGGCCCAGTCCTGGAGCCGGACAGCACCTTGTGTACCCCCACAGTGAGACCATCTTCTCTGTCCAAGAGAGCCAAGGCTCTAGCCAGCGCCCCACCCATGAACTCAGTGTCCTGACTGCACTGACACCAACTGGGCATACACCATTTCCTGGCATCCCCAAGGCCACCTGCCAGTCCATTTGACCACATCCCACTCTGGGAGGAGTGGGAGAGGCTGGGAGACTTCCTCCCCGCTGCTCAGCCTGTGCAACCAGGCCGAACAACAGAGGCCCTGGCATGAGGACATGGGTGTGGCGATGGAGCCACACCATATGCTCAGCACATGAGAGGGTCAAGAAGCACTGCCCTAGGATGCCATGCAAATGAGTGACTGGAAAGACACTATGGGGAGGGCAAGGCTCTTAAGAGGCTGCTCTGCTGGGGCAATCCATTCAGGAGCCCTGTCTCTCAGGAGCTATTCCTGTTTCCCATTCCTTTTCTCCAATAAACTTTCCTACTCTTAAAAAAAAGGGAGAGAAAAGGGCTGCTCTGCTATATTTCAGGGCCCAGAACAGGATCTTCCACCCCACAGGGTCGGTCTCCCTGGATGTGATTCTCCACTGCCTGCTCCTGGAATAGGATGCTACCTGCTTTTCTAGTTCCCCCAAGGCTCACCTGAGGAAGGCTCCCTAAATCCGCCCGACTTTAGAGCATAGCCAGAGTGGGCTGCAACTGCCAGCATCAGGCTCTGGTGGCCCATGGGCACAGGAGAGCCTGACGCTCACAGCTGCTGAGTGCCAGCACCAAACCGATTCACTGTCCCGGCAGGGACCAGGCTTCTACACCACATGCTCTGTTGTCAACAGGGTCGCACAGATGTTTGCCCCACAAAGTGAACACCTGGGCCTACACTGACAACAGGGGAGGCTGCATGGTCCACCCCACATCAGTGCAGGTGCCACCTCGGGAGGGCCAGTGGTGACCAGGGTAGCAGGCTCACCTTGGATAACCTCGCTGATGTGGGTCTGCACAGGGCCCTGCTCCAGGTTCTGCACCACTGAGTTGGCAATCCGCGTGAGGTGGCCCATATTCCCGCGCCTCATGCCACCAGCTGCCCTGAAAGTGACAGGGACTTGTCAGGGTGGCCATCTAGCCCTGGTCTCGTCTGACCAGTGGCTGGGAAGGCCAAGTGACACAAGCTTCTTGAAGCTCATCTCTGATGTCACCTCCACTTGCGCATTGCCCCCCCCCCCCGGGTGACCCCAGCTCAGCATCCAGGGTACCTGCCTGGCTCTTCAATGCTTGGTCAGCAGCCTCACCCCAGCATTCGGGGTTCTGGAGCACCTACTGTACCCCACAGGTTTAGCGACCCTCACCAAGAAGTGCTAAGGGGACAGACGCTGCTTGTGTGTAGCAAAAGGACTGTGGTGGTAAGCCCATGGCATGGGCCCAATTGCAGCCCATGGGCAACTGCCGTGGGCAGCAGCAGAGCAGGAACTGAGCAGGGCTGGTGGCTACAGAGCCAGCACTGGGTGCTGCTCCGTGAATGTTCCCTTCTGCTGGGGAGGGGGCTCTGCTACCCCCTACATAGGTCTATGGTCACCCAACTCAGTCTAGCTCCTGTGAGCCCCTCCCCACTGCCCAGAGCCCTGCTGTTCCTGGCAGGACAGAAAACGGCTGGGGGTGGCCTTGGACCTTGGACAACATGTGAGACTTGCTTCCTGACCTAAGGAAGACTCAGTAATGTAAAAGCAGAAAGACTAAAACATGCAGCCTTGTGTACAAGTGACAAAGGGTGCCCCAAGTCCTTGGGAAGATCAGGAACGGATATGGGTCCAGAAGTGTGCAAAGCTTGGCCAAGATAGGCTGGGGATGACCCATGTGGGTTCCCGGAGTAAGGCCACTCCCCTGACCATTCTCCAGTCACTCATTACTTGACCTGCCTTTCCCATTACCTCCCCATGTTATACACCCCTGATGCCCCACACTGAGTGTGGAGTCCTGTAAATTGTGGCTCTGCACCCCACACTGGTAGGGCAGGTCCCCAGGCTCTTACTGTGTGTGGTCATTGGCTTCCCAGGCCTCCAGGATCCTCTGCACCAGGCAGCACTTCTGGAACAGCTATGGAGGGGGAGGCTGTGTGAGTTGGGGCCTTCAGGGCTGCATCCCCTCCCCAGAGGCTGTGGCATTGAGCCAGGCCATCAGCACTGTGGCTGCAACACCCACATCCCTGACTTCTGTAGGCCCCACCAAACTCCAGAGGCAGGTACTGCCCAAGAAACTCAGTCTCACGGACACTCAGTGTGTCCTCAGGCACCCTGCAACGACCTTCACCTCTCAGCCCCTCTACCTCCACCTCCGTCCAGGAGCAGACGGGGCCCCTGAGCACCTTATCACCACCCAGCCCTGACGTGTACTGCTGCCGCTATCTGGGATGCTTGTCTCGGCCCCCACTCATACCCCAGGATCCCTTGCTGGTCTGCGCAGCCCCTGAACGTCTCCCCACCCTACCCCAATACCATGTATTCTCATCACGGAAACCACCTTCCCCCTGGCTGTTTATCTATTAGGCCACAGGGGTGGGGGACCTGGACTCTTCTTCTCCAGTGTCAACCCCACCAGGCCCCACACAGAAGGCACCCACAGCACTTAGGACTCGTGAGGCTTCTTTTTTTTTTTTTTTTTTTGGTTTTTCTCCGGTACTGGGAACCGAACTCACGACCTTGCACTTGCCAGGCAGGCGCTTTTTGCCGCTGAGCTAAATCCCCAGCCCCTCGTGAGGCTTCTGACTGGAAACACGGGGACCCCTACCCAAGCCTCGGCCTTCATCACATGCACAATGCGGTCCATGTGGTCCATCAGCATCCTACCCCAACTCAGTAAGTAGTGACAAGTGGGTCTGAGCTCAGAGAACTTCTTTATGCTCAGGTTACCAAATTGTTCCACTTCCTTCCTCAGCAAACACTAAGGCTGCTCTTTGCCAGGGACAAAGCTCAATGCTGAGGAGAGAAAAAACTTGAGAGGCAGATTTTGGGCCCACACAGCCAGAGAAGAGAGGCAGTAAGAGCACAGTTGTGTGGAAGACTCACGGGTAGCAGAGAGAAGGGTCAGAGGGAAGGCTATGTACCTGTTTCTAAAGGGCAGAGTCCCGGAAAGCTTTCTCATATGAGAATCTGACATTTGGGTTTTCCTCATGGCCTTGTCACTACACTGTCAGAAGCACAGCCCTGGGGGGAGCCATGTCCACAACCTGCTGGGGCACCACCAATGTGTATCTACGCTGCCTTCCCTCTGGCCACCTCTCATCTACCACCAGCTCTGCTCTGTGACCCTGGCAAATGTGGATGTTTCTCATTAAATGTCAGCATCCTTGTGGGTCAAGGACAGCAGTACCTTGTGCCTTGTGAGGGTCAGGGACAGCACAAGGGCCCAGGGAGTGCTGGATGCAGGCAGCAGAGCAACAACCCAAAGGTTCTTGGTCTGAAAAGGCTGGAGCTTGGCCTGCAGCAGTGAGCAGGGCACTGGTCTGGACTTACGTGGGTCACCATCGTGTTCTCAGGGAGGCTGGCGACAGGCTGGGGTGTCTCCAGGCTCCTGTTCCCATTCCCGCTTCCCTGTGGAGGCTCCACCCTGCTCTCGGATCCACCAGCTTCTGCCCTCTCCTCCCGGGCAGCATGGGAGAGAATAGCGGCTATGCATAGTTCCACTTGGAAGTGCAAAAAGTTATTCCAGGTGTACTTAAAAAACAAGTCCTGAGTAAACAGAGGACAGAAGGCTCTTAGATGGTCTCCTCCTGAACCAAGGCAAGGGGACTCGCTCCCAAACCTAACTTTGTGGGTATCTCATGGGAGTGTTGTGAGGAGCCCTTCATTCTCCTACCTGCTGCTTTGTGTGTGTGTCTCACTGACCTCTGCTCTAACCCAAGTAACTGTCTTCTTTCTACTCTCCACATGCTTATTCTTTTTTTTTTTTTTCTGTCTTTTTGAGACAGGGTCTTACTATGCAGTTCGGGCTGGCCTTGAGCTCACTTTGTAGCCCAGGCTGGTCTCAAACTCACAAAAGTCCTCCTGCCTCAGCCTCCCAAATGCGGGATTACAGGTGTGTGCTACCATGCCTGGCGAAATGTTTATTCTTTTGTCTCTAAATTAGAGGCTTACTTACTTATTTGTTTCTTTTTTTCGTGTAAGCCAGCCTTCCTTTTATGGTTTTTCGAGACAGGGTTTCACTATGTAGGTCAGGCTGGCCTCAAACTCGCAGCAATCTTCCTGCCTCATTCTCCTGAGTGCTGGGATTACAGGCATGTCTCACTATACCTGCCTCTAGTGTAAATCTTTAAAAGGCTACATTTTTCTAAAACCTTCATAATACTGTATACATTTTGCTAAGTGGTATTTTTCTACTATTCCTCAGATCTAAGTATTTGATAATTTTCTTTATGATTTTGTCTTTGACCCCTGAGTTATTAGGAGTGTGCTAAACTCTCAAACACATGGGGCCTGCCTGAGATGAACAGCATGCTTCTCCTACAGGACAGGAGCCTAAGGCGCATGTCTACACAGGCCCAAAGGAACCCAAATCCGGGCAGCACAGGCTGAAGCCCAGAAAATGTTCTAGATGTCTTGGGGCTTGCTGGGGGACAAAGGCCCTTTCATGAGGACAAAAGGACTCTTCCAGAACAGAATGGAGTAGGGAGGGAAGGTACAGCCCTAAAACTTTGAGCCCTAAGCTCTGATCCTCACCTACCGCTGCCATCTCACACAGCCCAGGCTGCAGTAGCCTATGCCTTGACCCTCATACTGTCCACAGGCTGCAGGAGGGAGTTTGGGACGAATGTAAACTCTACTCCAGTACGAGTTCTGGCTACTTCCTCACATCAGGGACTTGGGAGCTAGAGAAAGCAGAAAGCCTATCTCCTTGATGGACTTCTCCAGCTAGAAACACAGTCCCACACTTCAGTTTTGTCTTCTCTGCCTGTACAACCTTAAACCACCGAGGCGGACCTGACTGCTACCTCATCTGTAACATGGAGTCAGGCCACCCACCTCTTTACAGCAAGAGCAGAGAAGAGGGCTTCATGGTGAATTCTGCCACACATGTAAAGAATTTTCACCAATCCTTCTTAAACTTCTTCTAATCACTGAAGAGGGAAAACTTTCTAATTTATTCCACAAGGCTAAAATCAACCAGATACCAAAGTCAGACAAAGACACTATAAGAAAATTGTAATATTCCTTATGAAAACTGATGAAGGATTTGTTATGACTACTGTAATATAACTGAAAATGTAATATTCTTTATGAATACCAACAAACTGAAAGCAGCACTATATTAGAAAAATCCCACCACAACAAACTGGGATTTATTCCTAGACTGTAAGGATGTTTCGACAAAGGAAAGCTGGGTGTGGGAACAACACACCTGTAATCCCAACACTGAGGCGGAGGCAGGACTGCCGTTAGTTTGAGGTCAGCCTGGGTTATATACTGAGTTCAGGGCCAGCCTGTACCACATACAAAAGCCTCTCTCAAACCGCCCCCAAACATGAAAATCAATCAACATAATACACCGTATTAACAGAATAAAGGACAAAAACCAAATTATGATCTTAATTCATAAAATATTTGACAAAGTTGGGCATGATAGTGTACACCTTTAATCCCAGCACTAGAGAGGATAAAGCAGGAGGATCACAGCAAATTCAAGGCCAACCTGGGCTACATAGTGTGAATAGTGAGACCCTCTCTCAAAAAACAAACAAGCTGCCCATGGTGATGCATGCCAATCCCAACACTTGGGAGGCTAATGCAGGAGGATCGTCGTGAGTTCGAGGCCTCCCTCAGCTACACACCAAGTTCAAGGCCAGCCTGGACTACATATTGAGACCCTGTCTCAAACAAAACAAAACAAACACCTAGTCATTAAGACAGTATGGCACCAGCAGACAGTGTGACAGAGGTATGGAACCAATGGCACAGAACACAGAGCCTAGCGATAAACCTTCCTTCATATGCTCAACTGACTTGTAACAAGGATCTCCTGACAACCCAATGCAGAAAGGACAGTCTCTGAAATAAATGGTACCAGGGAATCTGGACATCTGTATGTAAAGCATCAAGGCAGACCTTCCTTATACCATATATAAAAATTAACTTGTTAGAAGATTTAAAACTGGGGGGACACCTGGAAGGGGAAAGGAAATAAAAAGGATCAAGCTGGGCTGGGGATTTAGCTCAGCAGCACAAGCGCCTGCCTGGCAAAGCATAAGGTCCTGAGTTCAAGTCCCGGTACCAAAAAAAAAAAAAGGATCAAGCTGGGTGTGGTGGTGCATATCTGTAATCACAGCACTTGGGAGGCTGAGGCAGGAGGACTGCTGTGAGTTTGAGACCAGCCTGGGCTACATAGTGAGTTGCAGCCCAGCCTGAACTGCAGAGTGAGACCCTGTCTCAAAAAAAAAAAAAAAGAAAGAAAGAAAAAAAAAAGGATCAAATTAGCCAGGCGTAGTAGCACATGCCTGTAGTCCCAGCACTCAGGAAGCGGAGGCAGGAGGATCACTGCGAGCTCGAGACCAGCCTGGGGAATGAAGTGAGCGCCTGCCTGGCAAGCGCTACACGGCAAGACCCTGTCTCAAAAAGACCAAAAAAAAAAAAAAAAAAAAAAAAAATCAAGATGCAATATGTACCAATTCCCCATGATGAATGTATTTATTATGTACTATAAACATACTAATAACAGAAGGAAGAAAAAAATTTAAAAATTAGCCAAGAATGGTGACCCCTGTATAAAACCCCAGAGCCCCTGGAGGTTGACGCAGGAAGATCTGAAGTTCAAGCCTAGCCTGGGAGATTTAACAAGACCTTGCCTCAAAATTTAAAAAGTAAGAGCCAAGGATATAGCTCAGCAACACAAGCACCTGCTTGGCAAGCACAAGTTCCTGAGTTTGATTCCTGGTACCAAAAAAAAATTTAAAAATAAATAAATAAAGGGGCAGGGAAGTAGCTCAGTGTGAAGGATTTGGGTTCAATTCTCAGTGCCACAGAAAAGAAAAATAAATTAAAAATGGGCAAAGGTTTAATTCTTTGAGGAAAACATAAAAAACAAAAAAGAAAACACAGAGGAAAAACAATAATTGGCATTGGATTTAGACATCAAACTCACAGGCAACAAAAGGGGGGAAAGATAAGTTAAATTTCATCAAAATTAGAAACTTTCCTATCTTAAACTACGTCACCGAAGGCATGAAAGATAAGTGCAAGAAGGGAGAGAGTGGGTGTGGTGACGCATCCGTATAATCCCTGCACTCAGACCAGCCTGGGCTACAAAGTGAGCTCAAGGCCAGCCTGAACTACACAGAGAGATCCTGTCTCAAGGAAAAAAAAAAGAAAAAAAAAAAAAAAAAAAAAAAAAAAAAAAAAAAGAAAAAAAAAAAAAAAGGGAGAGAATATTTGTAAAAATATATCTGATAAAAGATTAATATCCAGAATATGTAAAGAACTCCTACAACTCCTATAAAAAAGCAAACCATCCAATTTAAAAATGGGCAGAGACATTTAAAAACAGGCAGACATTTCTCCAAAGAAGACAAATGACCGACATGAAAAGATGCTCATCATCAAGCTGCCTAGTATGCAACAGATCCTCACCACTATAAAACAACGAAAAAGGGTGCTCATAGTTAGTGACAAGGGAAACGCAGACCAAAACTACCACGAGATGCCACTGCACAACCATCAGCACGGCTCACACCGACAGGAAACAGGTGTTGCTGAGGAAGTGGGGAAACCGGAACCTCGGCACCTTGCTGGTGGAAATGCACGACAGAGTGGCTGCTGTGGAAGGCAGCTGGGAGGCTCCTCAAGAAGCCACCAAGGGATCAGTACCACCTTGCAGTCCCACTCCTCTACACAGCAAAGGAGCAGAACGCAGGGCTCGGACAGATGTTTGTACCCCTGTGCTCATGGCACGACTATTCCCTGTTGTCAAAAAAAGTGGGGAAAACCCAAGTGTTCACTGATGGACAGATAAACAAAATGTGCTCAATAGATGCAATGGTAGACCATTCTACTTTAAGAGGAAGGAAATTAGCTAGGTGGGGTGTGCACACCTGTAATAGTAGCACTCTGGGAGCCTGAAGGAAGAGAATCATAAATTGGAGTCCAGTCTGGGCAACTCTAGGACTTAGTGAGCTCCTGTCTTAAAAAAAAAGGAAATGGTCACATTCAAATTCAGAAATAAAAAGTAGAATGGATGTTGCCAGCAAGTGGGGAAAAGTAGAAAGGAAAGTTAGCATTTCAGGGGTAGACAGTCTCTGGTAAAGGAGAAACTTTTGAAACAGATAGTTGTAATAGTTACAAAATATTGTAACTGTACTTAACACCACTGAATTGCACACTTAAAAAGTTAAAATGGCAGAAGCTTATGATACTTTACTAAAATAAAAATAAAAGAAAGACAGAGAGAAAATTATTTTGAAGAGTAGAAAAGGAAAATGGGTCTTAGAAATGCTCCCCTGGTGTAGACTGGGGTTTAAGTCACAATAGTGACCACCCTCAGGTCCAGTCCCCAGAGAGACATCTTCATTCTGGAAAATAGTTTATGGGAGGGTTCAATCTTCAGGGAGTGAGGCCCAGGGCAGGGTAGAATGGGAGTACTGCCAGTCCCCACTTAAGGCACTACCACCCCCAGCACCCCTTCCTCAGGGCCATGGCTCCCCTCAGCAGCACTGTGCTGCCTGCCTGCCACCTATCCCTTTCTGCAGACACCCACAGCCTTCCACAGGCCACGGGGCAGCTTCTGATGAATGAAGGAGTGTTGCCTATGGGTTTGACAGAGTTTCAAGGGCGACTTTCTCCTGCAATGACAGGAAGTTTCCCCTTCAGGAGTTTTTTCCACTGTGGTGCTGGGGATTGAATCCAGCCAGGCCTCAGGCATGCTAGTCAAGTATTCTACCACTGAGCTACATCTCTGTCCCTTTTGGTTTTTGAGACAGGATCTTGCCAAGTTACCCAGGCTGGCCTTAAACTTCTGATCCTTCTTGCCTCAGCCTCCTCGGTAGCTAGGATTACAGGTGTGCATCACTACACCTAGCTCAGGACATTTTCTATTTATGAGCTGTGGTGTCCATCCAATCTGTCAGAATATGCGAAAGGAGATGACAGGATGGGACAACTGCTCTCTGGTGTCAGGGCAGATCCATGGTAGAGGGTGGCTTCTGGCAAGCCCCAGGCTGTTGCTCTGTGTACTCCACCAGGGTCTGTGGAACCGGCACCACTTGGTTGCAGCCCTTTTTTCAGGGCTCCCTGACGGACCTTGCTGCTCTCTTCCTGGGACATCTGTGTGTCTGTCATGCACAGCACATGCAGACACGCAGGGCTGACTGAGGCACCCACTCACCAGCAGCAAGTCCATGGTATTGAGCCGGCAGAGCTCCTGGTTGATGCTGGGTGTATTTGTGTGCAGCAGCGCAGCCATGAGGCGTGCACCATGCAGACGGGCATTCCCCAAGGGCTCCTCCAGCACTCCAATGGTGGTCAGGATCGCTTTCTTCTGCAAACACAGGAGGCACCACCCAGTTGGAGCCCTGCGACCAACATAGCCAGTGCTGGCTTCTCATGGCTCACATGCCAACTGCTTGGGGTCAAGGCCACCGCTTTATGATGTGACCCAGACTGGGGGAGTAGGGTGTGGACATGGAGGTTCTTCAAGGCAAGGCTGCCTGCAAGAGGAAGTGAGAGGGTCCACAGAGGGAAGCACCCACTGTTCCCCTCAGGGCTGACAGAGTGAACGAGGTAGGAAGCCCAGGGAATCTTGCCTGATCCTGCAAGCCTATCAGGTGTGTCCACAGCGGAGTCACCAGTGCCAATCTGAGGGTGAGAAGACCCTTGCCACAGATGGAAACCCACGGCACAACACCTTGCTGAGAATGTTGTGTGCTCCTTCTGGGGCCACAGCCTTAGTACTCTGAGCTAAAAGATTCCCAAAACACTCAGAGGATGGGAAAGCTCCCCTCATCAGATTGGATATGTTTATTTTCTGATCTCTCACATGACCATAATGCAACTATGTCTTCATTAACTGGGTATTATAGGCTGATGAAATAAAATCTCTGCCTCCAGTGAGCTTGTCAGTGGGGAAGACGGATAACAAACAGGTTGGTAAGAGATGTCATAAGGTAGAGTGGGTGCTAGGAAGAGGGATGGGGCTGCATCTGGGTGAGTGGCTACGACATGAGACTAGAGAAACAGAGGGGCCCTGGCTGACAGCAAAGCATCAGGGACCTCTGCATTCCATCCTCCTCGGTATGATCCTAGCACTTCCCAGAGCTGCTGGGTGAGAAGGGCTACCCTGGGGTCATCCTTGGCCCCTGTAGGAGCCCAGAATCCCTTGGCTGGGCACCCCCAACTTGGAGGCTGGGCCTGCAGTGGCTACAAAGTGCCCCCTCTCTCCATGGAAGCAGAGACGGCTATTAAAAGGTGAAGGGAGGGCATCCAGAAGAAATAGGCTTTGGTATCTGCCTGATGGTTCTCAAATAGGGTCTGCGAAGGGCAATACTCACCAGGGATCACTGTGGGGTCCTCTCTTGGCATACCACCCCATCCTACTATGTCTCTAAAGGCCCCAGCAGTGGTTCATGGCCCTTTACCTTTGGTGGGTTGAGAAGGAGCTGGTGGAAGTCCTTCAGCCGTGGCTCAATGCCATTCAGGACACTGCTGCTGACAGCGTGCGACCTTTCCAGTCCCTGAGAAAAGGAGTCCACCAAGCCCTCTGTCCTGTGGATGAGGACGGCAGATGGAGCCTCGGCAGATGCACGTGCACATCTCTGGCACCTTGCCAACATGCAACTCATTTTCTTTTACAAACAGCTCTTTTTAATTCTCGCAGAAAGAAATCTCAAGAGTGACACTATGCAAGAGCTCTATGACTTGGGGTACACAGAGAAAAGAAAGGCATCTAGGGCCCCTAGGAAATTGTTTCTGCTTGACAGTTGAGACCACAGGGCTGGGTCTGGTGGCACACAACTCACTGCCATTTTCCCACTAGGCCCCTAATGGGAACCCCTCACTCCACCTGCTTTGAAAATATTTACTGGTGTCTCCAGGCCTCAATCAAGAAATAGGAGACAGACTAGCCACATTATCTCTTTGCATTTTCAAGGAAATTTCTCTAAGTGAGATATTTATTTAAGTATTTTTCCAATAATAAAAGTCACTGATATTGCTAAAGGAAAAATTCTAAATACATAAACTGTTAAAAAAGCAACAGTCGGCTTATCTGTTTTCCTAACTTTTATATTATCTCTCCATCACACGTGGGGCTAGGCTTGGCCCTTAGGAGTAGTGAAAGTTTCCTGGATTTATAAAGATAAATCAACATTCTACCTACTGAATAACTATGTATGGGGGAGCAGGGGAGGAGGAAATAATCTCACTACGAAGATGAATACAATTTCTTGTCGTTTCTCTTTTCAAAAAGAAAAGACAAGGGGCTGGGGATTTAGCTCAGCGGCAAAAGCGCCTGCCTGGCAAGCGCAAGGTCGTGAGTTCGGTTCCCGGTACTGGAGAAAAACCCAAAACCCAAAAAAAAAAAACAAAAAGAAAAAAAAAGAAAAGACATAAGCTATGAGTCCCAGGGGTAATGAAGTTCTCCCCAGCACGTGGAAATAACAGAACTGCAGTCACCTTAGGAGATCAGACCCCCGCCCCAGCAGGTGAGGCCCTGGGAAAGCACCCAGGAACACCAGCACGCATCGTCTTCATGCCTCCTTGACAGCACCCCCTGCAAGGGCTCCCTGGGCCAGTGAACCCTGCCGTGACTCCCCACACTGCTGCGGTCTGCAGTACACAGGTGACCTCTGATCCTCCTGCTCCCAATGGCTCTGGCAGTGCCCCCCACCCGTGCCCAAAGCAGTTTCAAATACCTCCTAAGGTTTCTGCCTGGTATCTGGGAAAGATCTCGTCCCCCCTACATCCCAGTGAATCCAACTTTTCATCCAAATCTGTGTTTTTTGCTGTTTCCCTGTCTTGCCTGAGAATTGGCATTCTGCTGCCTCTGCCTCAATAGGCCTTCGATAACTGTACCTGAGAACAGCCAGTGTGGTGACCTCCCCAAAGGTAATGACACAAGGGTGCTTCCACACAAGCTCTACCTGTCCCCACCCATCACTGCCCCTGCTGGTGCCCACACTAGGACCCCTCACTGTCAAGACTATCCCATTTTGGAGCCTCTCAAGGAAAATGCTCCCTGACTATCGAGGCCCACCCACCAGCCTGACCTCATGGACCTGCCTCCCGGTCTACTGCACTTTTTTACACTGTAGAACTGCTGTCCACAAGCCGACCTTCTGGGCTAGACCAAGAACAATGGAAGAGAAGCCACAGTTTTATCTGTCTCCTAGGGCCCTCATGTGAGCAGCATGGTGGGCATCCAAATGACACCTGATGAGTGAGAAAGAAGGTGGAGGACAGCCCTGTGCCTGACAGTGCTCACAGACAGATGAGCATGCATGTTCACCTGATTCAAGACAAAGATGAGGCCCTTTCCTAGCATGGGAGATACTGTATGCATGGGAAAAGATAGTTGTGTGTCAGAGTGGAAGCTCTTGCAGCCAGTGAGCTACAAGGACCTGCTGGAGCAGTGCTGGGAAACTAGACTGCTCCGCACACATACAAATGCATGGCCCTCAGGTTGGACTCATACCTGATTGGGTGAGAAAAGACGTGACTGTAGTCAGAAAGCCGACCTCCTCTCCTTCCTTTTATTTTTCCAGCAGTAGGGATTCAATCCAGGGCCTTGCCGATGCTAGGCAAACACCCTACCACTAAGCCATATCCCTAGCCCAGGTTGGCCTTGAACTTTTGATCCTCCTGCTTCAACCTCCAGAGTAGCTGGGGTTATAGGAGTGTGTCACTACACTTGGCTGAAGTTGACCTTTGCAACCAGGGGCAGCCATCCACATTTTTACTTGCATAACCAAAAATTAATTAAAGATACACAGTCCAGCCATTCTCTGGGAACCCACGCCCTGCAATATCAGAGCAGCTTGCATCACTTTCCCGGGGAAAGGCTCACCCAGCCCGCCGTGGCTCCAGCAAGGCAAGCAGCACCTGCATTCCGCTGACCAGGCAGCTCTCTGTCTGGTCTCCGTCAAACATGTTCTTTAGAAGCTGCTCCACACAGTCCTGCCTGTCGGGCACACACAGAGGTCACTGCCTGTCAGAGAAGACAGATGTGACACAGCGACACTTTCCTCCCTGGAGGACCCTCCAAAGCCCTGCTCCAGGCAGAGCCTCAGGGTTCTGTCTTGCTGGAGACTCAAGACCCTCCCTGGGCTCTGAACTGGGGATCTCATCAGACTCTGAATCAGAGGTGGCAGCAGCAGCTCCTGGTGCTCAGCAGGGCTCCAGCACGTCTCCGTTATCTGGAGCAAGGCCACTGCACGGTGAACCTGGTACTCACGACTCCAGTGCTGTGAGGAGGGGGTCTGGCTCCAGAGTCTCTTGGAGTTGACTGCTCTGGTCTCTGCTCAGCCTGACAATGTCGCAGAGTGCCTGAGAAGCATTCGACTGCCGCTGCAAAGATAGGGAAACAGATGTCTCAGCCACGAACAGCTGACAGCAGGACCAGCACACTGCCAGATTCAAACTTGCTCAGAGGAGGCCAGGTGTGGTGGTGCATACCTGAAATCCCAGCACTTGGACTGCTGTGAGTTCAAGGCCAGCCTGAACTATATAGTGAGACCCTGTCTCAAAAAACAAAACACAACACCACAAAACTTTCTTGGAGGCAGTTTTCTATGTTTTCTACAAAGATTCCAGACTAACAGGCTCATTTCAACATAGCTTGAAAAGGTTGCTCATTGTCAAGATGTAGACCTGAGCTGGGCATACTAGTACACACCTATAGTCCCAGTACTTGGGAGGCTGAGGCAGAAAGATCATAAATTAAAGTCCTACCTGGGCAACTTAGCAAGACCCTGTCTCAAAGTAAAATAAAATTTAAGAAAATTGCCAGGTATGTAGCTTAGTACAAAGGCCCTGGGTCCATCCTCAGTACTGGAGGAAAAAAATGGAGCTTTTTTCTTTTTTACCTATACTGCACCATCACCATGTATTCAGAATGGGCCCCAAATGGTCAAATACACTACACAGATGTCACTCTATACCTCTGACCCATGTTTTGAGATATACTGAACATGTGACCATATGAAGTGATTTTATATTTTAAATCTAATGAGCCAGGCATGATAGTACATGCCTGTAATCCCAGCACTTGGGAGGCTGAGGCAGGAGGAGTGCCACTTGAGGCCAGCCTGGGCTACAAAGTTAATTCAAAGCCAGCCTGAACTGTAAAGTAAAATCTTGTCTCAAAAAGACCAAAAAAAGAGTAGCTGCTATTATTCTGAAAGAATCCTATGAACTAAGGAAAAATAGGGCAATTGCTATAGAGAAAAAAGGAAACTCAACTTTCCTAGGGAACCATGAATACTGCCCCTGCCCTACCCTGACTGAAATGCACTGGCTTACAACGGGGTGCTCTGGGGTGGGGGAGGCAGTGTGACCCAGAGAGAAATGTACCCCTTACTCCCTACACAGACCAGCCCCTGACTGGCATGTCCACGGCAGCAAGTCTGCCATAGGGACAGGACAGCATCTGGTTGTTTCTGGCAATCAACCCATAACATTCACACCTGGAGCTCTGTATCTCAGACAAGATCTCTCTGCTTCCTACAGAAGCCAGTGCAGCCTCTCCCAACTGTCTGGTAGTCCAGTGGGCTGATGGGGAGACAAAGCAGTGATCAAGCAGCAATGAACACCTTTGGACACAAGTGGACACCAATGTTTTAAAAATTGCTGAGGTCAGAATGTGTGTGTGTGTGTGTGTGTGTGTGTGTGTGTGTGTAAATACATCCAATGCATAAACAAAGGCCTCTCAGAATATAGCTCAAATATTCTGCAGACCAGCGAGGGGTACCTGAGAAGAAGCCATGCCGTCACCTATAATGCTACAATTTGAATATATTTTTGAGACAGGGTCTCACTTTGTATTCTAGGTTGGCCTTGGACTCACTTGTAGCCAAGGCTGGCCTCCAACTGGCTCTGATGCTCCTGCCTCTGCCTCCTGAGTGCTGGGATGACAGGCGTGTGCTGCCACACCTGGCTTGAATATTTGGTTTTCATCCACAGTATCTGGTTCATGACTCTGACCTACCTGTTTGATAAAACCCTCCTCTCTCCAGAGGGGTCCTGTACCAGGATCTGGAAGGAAGAAAGCTGCACAGAGGCCAAGAAGAATCTGAACAGAAAGCCTTGCTAGGATTCCCTTCCTATTCTATTAGCAATCATACCTATGCCCTGAAGTCTTCATAAAAAGTCTTTGTCGGTATAGCTTCTGGAGCTGGTGGGAGTTCCTAAGGGTATACAGGAGAGGGGGACAGAGGCTCTGGACCCTTTCCTCAGTACCCTGCCCTATGCATCTCTTCATCTGTATCCTTTGTATTAACCTTTATAGTAAACCAGGGCCTGTGTTTCCCCAAGTTCTGTGAGCCTCTCAAGCAGTTTTATCAAACCCAAGGTGAAGACACTAGGAAGCCTGATTTATAGCCAGTCAAAAGCACAGGAAAGACAACTTGAGGCTTGTAACTGGCATCAGAAGTGAGGCAGGCAGTCCTGGTGATGAAACCCTCAACCTACGGGATCTGAAACAAACTCCAAATAGAGATTCAGAATTGAACCAAACCAGAAGGGAGCTAGCTAGGGTCTACTGGAAAGCTGAGCTTTCTGGAGATAACTCTTTTGCATCTGGCAAGCAAAGTGACCTGTACTGTAATGGTTCAGTAGAAGACCCTGAGTTAGAGCTGGCTTTTCCTTCTGTATCTACACATCACTTCATATGTTTCTGCAGTTACAGCAGAAAACTTCCAGGAAGCCCACAGCCATCCTCTCCTGGAAACCATGCCCTTGTAAACCGCCCTCCTCATGTAGGCTGACCTCATTCAAGTCTAAAGAGTAGAATGGTGTGGCATGGTGGTGCATGCCTGTAATCCCAGCACTTGGGAGGCTGAAGGAGGAGGGTCACCCTGAGTTTGAGGCCAGCCTGAACTACACAGGACCCTGTATCCAAAAAAAAAAAAAAGTAAAATGCAGCTCAAGTGAGAGCTGTCACTTTTTGAGGTGGACTTAAATTTGCTTTAGGTCCAGCTCACTCCATGAAGTCATATGCCTCCATGTGAGTCCTGCCCTATGACAGGCCCACATGGCACAGAGCTGAGGGCAGCATGTGCCACAGCCCCTGAACTGAATGCTGTGAAGCCACTGTCTGTGGAAGTGGAGCTTCCTTAGTTAAGCCCAGAGATGATTGCAGCCCTGCGAGAGACTCTGAGCCACTAGGCCACTGGCAAATCCCTAACCACAGAAACTGCTAGAACTAAAAAGGACTTGTGCAGGCCATCTGTGTTCAGGACTTCTTTTGGGAAGTACTAAGGATTAAACCCAGGCCCTCTGCACTGATCTTCATCTCCAGCCCGTTTTATCTTTTATTTTAAGACAGGGTCTCATTAAGTCACCAAGTTGCCTAGGCAGGGCTTGAACTTGTCTGTTAAGACTTTTGGGGTTGTTTGGGGGGGGGTTTTGGCTTTTTGAGACAGGGTCTTTCTTTGCAGTTCAGGCTGGCCTTGAACTCACTAGCCCAGGCTGGCCTTTAATTCGCAGGGATCCTCCTGTCTCAGACTCCTGAGGGCTAGAAATACAGCGTAGGTGTGCATCACCACACCTAGTTAGACTGTTTTTATAATACATATAATTAATTTTTTTATACATACATGTTATAATTTTGGGGCTGAGCTAGTTAGACTTCAGTAGCCACGTTATTTTTTTTTTTTCATCTTTTTGAGACAGGGTCTCACTATGCAGTTTAGGCTGTCCTTGAGCTCACTCTGTAGCCCAGACTGGTCTTGAATTTCCAATGATCCTCCTGCCTCAGCCTCCTGAGTGCTGGGATTACAGGCGTGCGCCACCATGCCCAGCTTCCATGTTATATTTGATCTCATCCAAAAAGTCAAGAAGTGATCACCAGCCACACTGAAATCATATGCTGCTTTAGTTTCTGTTTAGAGGACTGGAAATGAAACCTAGGGCCTTGCATACACTAGCAAGTACTCTACCACTGGGCTGTATCTCCAGCTCTATTATGCATGAATTTTTAGTAACAAACAAATACCTGCCAAGATGTTAGAACTTGATTAAAGGAAAAGATGTATCTGTTGTTTTTTTTTTTTTGTTTTTCTTCCAGTACCAGGAATCGAACTCACAACCTTGCACTTGCCAGGCAGGCGCTTTGCCGCTGAGCTAAATCCCCAGCCCCAAGGAAAAGATATATCTAACTGGCCCTCAGAGGAGAAGAAAGAAGTGACTTGCCTCCCACCCGCAACCCGAGCAGCAGCAAGTGCTCTGTCAGCCCAAATACAGGGCTTTCATGCAAGAAGATGGGCTCTGTAAGACTCACATCTTCGTCCTGATGCGGATGGATCAATTCCACAAGTCTCTGGATGATTTTCTCTTCATTAAGCCACTGAAAAGGGGAAAAAAAAGGAGCCTATCAACATCTCTGCTCACATCTACCTAAATGCAGAGAAATTCCTTTGGTGTAGAAGAAACCCACGCACCCACGTTTCCTAGGACAGGCTCTTCCTGACCCAGAAAGAACCCACAGAACACAGTAAGTGAACTCTTAAGAGTAGCTTAAAAAGAGTTTAATTGGGTGGACCACTGTCTGTCTGTCTTAATGGTGCACACACTACCTTTGGGGTACATCTCAGAAGCCCACGGTGCAGTTGGGCCAAAACACAAGCCCTGTTACTGAGCTAAACATGGAAACCAGATATGCTGCAGCTCCCTGCACTAGCAGGGGCCTTCCCAGGATCAGGAAGAGCAGAAAGACCCTGGGGTAGCTGTACGAGCACAGTAAAGCCTGAAGCTGACACTCTTCAAGGTCAAGGGCAGGGGACGCCCCATGTGATCATGTCAGGGCACAGCAGAGCTGGCAAATCTGGCTCCTCTGGTGCACTTAGAGCCCTGTATTTCAGACTCATCTGAGGGTAGGAAACTGACCCACCAGGCTGCTCGGATAAATGAATAAACTTATGCAAGTAAAAGGCTACATAGCACGTAGTTATGCAGGATTCCTACTAGCAGTTACTCACAGCAGCTCATATGTATGCTGTATGCTGTAAATCTTAGCACCATGGGGAAATGATTTATCATCCCAAAAGTGAGAATAACCCTTATGACACCTGACAATAAAAAGAGCAAAGTTCCAACAGCTTGTAACTTTAATTTAAACTGCAGCACAAAGCCTGCCAAATGACAGGGAACACAAATGCACCTTCCAGGGGCTGGGAACCCTTCTTTTTCCCAGAGACTATAGATTTGTCCTCTAACTGACCTGCAGGACAGTCTCATCCACACTCTGGGATAAGTGTGGAGCCATTATCAGCTTGTTTTCTACACTATGTTGCCTGTCTTAAATATGGAGCCCCTGCTCCAAGACCAAGTGGGTGCCTCGGGAGAGAAAGACAGGAGATGAGCAAAGCCTGCTTCTATTTTAGCACAGAGCGGGAGGTCAAAGAATGTTAGGGCAGGCACCAGTATGCTGTCCTTTTGACTGAGCTGAAGTAGGACAAGGTGCATATGGGAACCCTGGGGGTGACACCTGCCTAGGAGCTGGACCAGGCCTCTACAGAGAATGGGACAGTGCAATCCTGACACTCACATGCAGGACTTCCTGCCGGAGCCCCACAGGTTCCACACAGCTGACAAGGCGCAGTAACAGGTCCATGAGTGCCGAGGTGCCCATGTGCTTCAGCACCAGGCTGATGAACTTGTCTTTCTTCTTCAAGAACACAATCACCTGCAATCAAACACACCAGATTATTAAACAGTTAAACCCTGATAGCCAGGACACTTTCTCCAAGAACTCTCATGAGAATGATTAACTTCCAAGTATCTAGAGGAGAAATGATGGAGAGACTAAAAATAAAATTGTAGGAAAGAACCCTCCCAGGACAGGCAGACAGCCCTTGAGTGCAGTGGTGCCTGTGAGGAGTTTGCTGCACAGGCTGGGGTTGGGTTAGTGCTGTGTGAGCAGGACACTGTGTCTCAGGTAGGAGAGTACAGGCTGCTGTGCACAGCCACCACTGGGCACATAACTGGCTCAAGTTTTTCTAACCAAAATGGGTGGCGTGGGGCCAGGGATATAGCTCAGCAGCACAAGTGCCTGCCTGGCAAGCGCAAGGTCCTGAGTTCGATTCCCAGTACCAAAAAAAAAAAAAAAAATTGGGTAACGTGCATGGAGCTGGGCTGGGAGATGCGGGTCATTGCTGATAGCCCCCAAGTATGAACACAAACAAGTACATATAAATGGACAGTCCCTGAGAAGAACACTAGCAGTTGAAAGGAAGAGAAGACTGAAGCTTTAGAAAAGAAAAAGGAGGTGTCATATAGTGGTTGGTGATCAATGCCAACAGGTATGGACATGGACAGCAAAGTGTGAAGCCAGGGAGGAGTGGGAACAGCACCTCTGTGAGTATGACGGGCTGTTCAGGGAGTGGGTTATAGGTGAGAACAGAGACCAGGGGAAAGCCTGGCTGAGTTCCCATCTCCACATGTCTTCCAAATGGCCATAGATAAAGTGCCTGCCACTTTCAGGTCACAGGGGAGAGGGCTGGGATAGAGCCAGAACACTACTGGAAACAGCAGAGCACAGAGAAGGTCCACCCAACTGGGGGGTTTTGCTATGCTCATTCTGAGAGGATACTATAGTTCTCAGCATATCCCCCAAACGTCATGGATTAGAAAATTAATCCCTCCTGAGAAACCACTCTGAAGATACCACCACGTATTACAGCAGCCATTGATATTTTCCTACTAATCTATCCATAACTGTGTAAAGTTTGTAATGTTCCTATCCTATTTCATAAATGGATGTATGTTTATTATTATGTGTTTCCTACAACAACCATTGAGAATAGTTAATGATTTTTCAATAGGTCACTCATGTATAGCTCTATTTTCTTTAGAAGCCACTTTGAAGATACCAAAGTATAGTACAACAACTCTTGATAATCTCCTACCTCTTTTGTCTGTAACTCACTATTATTTGTCTATTTGTTTTCCTGAGAAACTATTTTGTAGACAATAATATGTAAAATGATAACCATTGATAATTTCCTACCATTTTGTCTGTAATTTGCTAAGTCCCCCCTATTATTATGTTATCCTTCTTTTATTCTTTAAAATTAAAAAAAAAAAAAAGAAAATTAATCCCAAAGTCATACTTACATGGTATTTAGAGGTAGGGTCTTTGGGAGGTGATTAGTTTTAAATGAGGTCATGAGGATAAGGGTCTGTGATCTCATGAACAGGTTCATAAAGAGAGGAGAGACTGTACTAACTGGCAATGTGCTATCCTGTGGCATCCTCTGGACTCTGCTCTCACCAAAAGCCCCTCAAGCTCGGATTTCCCAGCCTCCAGAACTACAAGAAATAAATTTATTTTTCTTTTCTTTTTTTGTTTTTTTTTTTTTTTTTGGTCTTTTGAGACAGGGTCTTGCTATGCAGTTCAGGCTGGCCTTGAGCTCACTTTGTAGCCCAGGCTGGTTTAGAACTTGCAACAATCCTCCTGCCTCAGCCTCTCAAGTGCTGGGATTACAGGCATGCACCACCATGCACAGCTCAAGCAATAAATTTCTTTAGAAATTACCCAGGTTGTGGTATTCAGTTACAGCAAGAGAAGACAGACTGAGACAGTTGAGGAAGAAAGTAAGACAAAGGAGGAGCAGAACAGAACAGAGAGAAGAGGAGGAAGAAGGAGAAAAGGGTAGAAAGAGGAGGGGAGGAGGAAGGCATTCCGAAAGTATGATTAAACGCCTAGAGGGAGAGAGTACAAACAAAATGGAAAAGGTGCACAGCTGGGCATAGTAATCCCAGCCCTCAGAAGGCTGAGGCAGGAAATCACCATGAGTTTGAGGCCAGCCTGAGCTATAGAATAAGTTCAAGGCCAGACTAGAATACATAGCAAGACCCTGTCTTAAAAAAAAAAAAAAAAAACGAGCCAGGTGTGGTGGTACATGCCTGTAATCCCAATACTTGGGAGGCTGAGGCAGGAGGATCGTTGTGAGTTCGAGACCAGCCTGGGCTACAAAGTGAGCTCAAGGCCAGCCTGAACTGCATAGCGAGACCCTGTCTCAAAAAAAACCGAAAACAACAACAACAACAAAACAAAATACAACACCCGAGAAGGAATAAATAACACCATCAGGACTGAAATGGGACCCTGCTACAGACCCTACAGATATCCTGAGGCAGGAGGATCACCATGAGTTTGAGGCCAACCTGGACTGTATAAGTGAGTGAGACTCTGTCTCAAAAACTTTTGAATCAATCAATCAAACACTGGGCGCGGTGGCACAACTTTACAATCTCAATACTTGGGAGGCTGAGGCAGAAGGATCGTTCCAAGTTCAATGCCAGCCTGGGCTAAAATGTGAGTTTAGGGCCAGGGATATAGCTCAGTGGCACGGTGCCTGCCTGGCAAGCCAGAGGTCCTAAGTTCGATTCCCGGTACCAAAAAAAAAAAAAGAAAAAGACCTCTCAGGGCTCTCATGGCCTTGGCAAATTCTACCATTTAGCGAAAATAACCCCAAAATTACATAGACTCTTTCAGAAAACACAAAAGGAGGAACTACGTCCTATATAAATGTATAAGGAAACCAGGCATGGAGCTGCACCCCTACAATCCCAGCATTAAGGAGGCAGAGGGCAGGAGGATAGCCATGAGTTCGAGGCCAGCCTGAGTTACACAGTGATACCCTAGTATTGCAAACAAATAACAAAAAATCCTATCTCCTCGCCCTCTCAAATAATTTTATCAACCTCAAAAACCAAGTGCACCATTAAAGTTAATGTCTCCAAGAATAAAGCTGTCATGGTTCACCATACAGAAGTAAGGGAAGAACAAACTCTGGCCCCTTAACCTATTACTGTACTTCTTAAAAAGTATGACTGTGTTTTCTTACACCACCACACGTTCACTTAGCAATTACACCAGTCCTTCCTTACCACAAGGCTGGGATGTTCCTGTAGGAATGGAGTAAGTAGGCCACCCATTCCTCAAGGCTGAGACAGTTGCACAGCAAATGACATATTTTAAAGTGTTGCTCAGGACCAGTGAAAAATTACCAGACTTTTGCCCACCCTTGCACCTCCTGCTCAGAAATAGAAAACTTGCCCCATTCATTACAAAAAGGCCAATCTGACTTGGGTCAGCTCTGTGGCCCTTTCCTCTTCTCAAGTTGAATTTCCCTCTCCATTTTTAATTCCTTCTTAATTAAAACCTCTGCCTTTGAGTTCATTCTCTTTGCCTCAGTTTAAATTTTGTTACCCTGAGACAACAGTGTTTTTGCGTATGGTATCAATTGCACCAGTGTCAACCCCAGATTTTGACACTGTACTATGAGGATATAACTGCTGCAGGGGTGTGTATGTGTTTTATACCGGAGATTGAACCCAGGGTCTTCACAGTGAGCTACATCCCCTCCCTCTTCCTTTATTCTGAGACAGGTTTTTTTACTAAGTTGTACAGGCTGAGCTAAAATTTGTGATCCTCCTGCTTCAGCCTCCTAGAGTATCAGGATTACAGACATACACCACTACACTGGCTACAAGTTTTTAAAATTTTTAAAATAGGCGAACTAAACACATTGATCTAGGTCAGGAGGATGACTGATGAGAGAGTAGAAGCAGTAACAAGGAGTGTCATGAGTAATGGCCCCATGGCTTCCACTTTCTGAGGACATCTGGGCTAAGCTGTACTGTGTCGTTGTCTGCATGTTTGCTGAGCTTCCAAATAAAAGGCTAAGAAACAACACACAGGAGATGTGGATGTAGCTCAAGGGTGGAGCACTTGCCTAACATGCATGAGGCCCTGAGTTCTATACTTACAGCCATAAGAAAAAAAATTTTGAAGTGCATAAATCAATGTAAATGTTAATTACTGTAACTCCTGAAGATAAAGGATTGGTGGCAGAATGTCAGAGCAGGCTCATCCACGCCCCACTTATAGTCCAACCAAACAAAAGTTCTATCCGTACAGCCTGCACCGAGTGCTCAAACAAGTAACTTCAAAGGGTTAAAAACAAAACAAAACAAAAAGGAAGAATAAGAGAAAGAGATTATCTATGGCCCATAAAACCTAAAGTATTTACCATCTGGCTCTTGACAGAAGTATGGTAACCCCTCTACTGATGATGCCATAGGGATGACAGCAATTTGAACTAACCTTGAAAAACATTTTGAGATTATCAGAGAAATTTGCAAACTGTATGCATATTTGATGGAGTTAAGTATGGGGCTGTGGCCAGGTGTGGTGGCACACTCCTATAATCCCAGCATTGGGAAGGCTGAGGCAGAAGGATTGCCGGGAGTTCAAGTCCAGCCTGGGTTACATAAGCAAGTTCAAGGTCAGCCTGCACTACCTAATGAGACCCTATTTCAAGACAAAACAAAACAAGGTATGGAGATGTGAGGGAAGGTAATAGGATGGATATGATCATAATACATCATATGCATGTATGAAAATACCACATTGAAACTCAATTTTTTTTTTTTTTTTGATAGTGTCAATATATAGTTCAGGCTAGCTTTGGGTTCACTACGTAGTCCAGGCTGGTCTCGAACTCTTGGTGATCCTCCTGCCTCGCCTCTTGAGTGCTGGGATTACAAATGTGTACTACCACACTTAGCAGAAACTCAGTATTTTGTAAAAGGCGCTAATAAAATATTTTTATAAGTATCACTAATCTAGGTATGATAATGGAAGTGTGTTTATGCTTGTAAAAGAGCCCTTGTTCTTTAGAAGAACATAATGAAATACATATAAATGATCTGGTGTCTGGAATTCATATCAAAGTTGTCTAGGGTTGGTGTTGGAAATAAGGGGCTTGAGAAGAGATAAGATTGGTCACTGTTGTGGTTACTTTTCTCTTGTTGCTGAGACAAAACACCCAACACCTAACATCAAAGGAGAAAAAGTTTATTTTGGCTCACAGTTTATTGAGGTTTCAGTCCATAGTTGGCTGCCTCCAAGGCAGGGTGCCACGGCAGAGGGACATCACAGAGGAGAAACAGTTCATGGTGGGCAGAAAGCAGTAAGGCAGCAAAGTAGCAAAGAAGGAACAAGCAGCAAGTGACAACAGCAGCCCTCTTTCTGTCCCTTACATCCTATCCAGGCTACATGCCCTTAGGGCAGGCAGCATTCACACCGAGGGTGGGCCTTCCCATTAACCACACCCAGGATTATGCCAAACCAATCACTGGACCAATTTAATAATCACACACCCTGATCCCAGCATCACACTCTAGATCCACCTCTGACCTTCTGAGCCTTTTGGGGGACATTCAGATACAAGCCATAATAATCATGATCATGTGGAAAGGGTAACAGAGACATGGGGGTTCCTAGATGATCTAATCTCATTTTTACACGTTTGAAACTTTGTTGCTGGGGCTGGGGATTTAGCTCAGTGGCAAAGCGCCTGCCTGGCAAGCGCAAGGTCATGAGTTCGGTTCCCTGTACCAGAGAAAAACCAAAAAAAAAAAAAAAGAAACTTTGTTGCTTTGCCAGCAAATCCCAGCTCTGGGCCACCCCCAGTCTGGGGAAACATAGAAGGAAGGCTCACTGCAGCCCTGCCAGTCACGGCTAGTGTGGGCACAGCTGACACCTGCATGACTGACACAAAGTCATGTTAATCATGTTTGAGTGATACAAGGGAACAAGGTGGCTCTCAGTGAAAGATCCAAGATCTATGTGTATGTGAGAAAAGAAATTTGCAACACTCAGAGTCTAGTACCATTGTGTGAAAACTAGCAACTGTACATCTACTGAACAACTTCAGTGGAGTGTGCACTACATAATCAACAGTAGTCATTCCTAGAGATTACCATAGGAGACTTTTAGCTCATATTAATTTAATGCATTAGCATTGAGTAAAGGAAGAAGAGGTAAGTAAATGAGCCAGTAAAATTATAAAGAAATACCTAAAAGTGGCAGAGGAGTATGACCAGCCTACAATAAATTACGAAATTCACAATTTCACTGTTAACTTGGCTGAAGTTTCCCTTACATATACAACAATGCCCCCAGCCCAGCACTCCTGCTACTGTGAGTGCTCACACCCTTGCCCTCAGCACCACCCCTACTGCCAGTGTCCGTCTCACCACCGCACACATACACACACACATTCCACACTGCTGCTCTTCACATCTATTCTGCTTCAAAACAGACCTAAAGTGAGACAATCCTCTCTGGTTCCTCACAACCTGACAAAAGATGACATTTACCTGAATATTTACCATATGTCCACAGAATTTCAAGGGAAACAATCACTTTTCTTATGGTTCAAGGCACAGACAAAAAAAAATTGACCTGCTCCCTCAATAGACACTTGATTATACTAAAAAATTACAGCTAATATTCTGGGGGCATTTTAATACCTAGTACTATTTAGAAGAAAGACGTCCTTGCAACTCAGAGATATATACTAAAATATTTATAAAAGAAATGATTTGAAGCCGAGCATGGTGGCACATGCCTGTAATCCCAGTACTCAGGAGGCTGAGGCAGGAGGATCGTTGCGAGTTCCAGATCAACCTGGGCTACAAAGTGAGCTCAAGGCCAGCCTGAACTGCATAGCGAGACCATCTCAAAAAAAGACCAAAAAAAAAAAAAATTATTTGACGTCTGAGATGTGTTTTAAAACAATCCAGTGGGAATGCATAAGAGGTAAGAATAATGGCCGACGGCCTGCTGAGCTTGTAATAGAAAATGGTCCCCTGGCCAGCTGGCCAGAATAGTTCCTGTTGCAGTTTCAGTTGCTCCGTCTCTTAGAAACGGCTGGTCACTGTGACGCATAGCTGATCATTATGATGCACACTGAATAAACCAATCCCTAACTGACGAGCCATTCTGCCTCTGTACGTCCTGCTCACATATAAGCCCTAGACCACTAGAGATCAGGGCCTGATATTGTGAGAGTGATCCTGATCAGTGCCCATTGACAAATAAACTTGCCTCCAAATCCTGGCTGTCATTTTGGTGTTTCTGCCTGCCAATGCAAACTCAATGGCAAGCACAGGCTGCCATCAGGTCTCCCCAACCTGTGTCCAAAGTCTGGAGGGGATAGCCGGGCGTGGTGGCGCACGCCTGTAATCCCAGAACTCAGGAGGCTGAGGCAGGAGGATCGTTGTGAGTTCGAGACCAGCCTGGGCTACGAAGTAAGCTCAACAGCAGCCTGAACTGCATAGTGAGACCCTGTCTCAGAAAGACAACAACCAAAAAAAGTCTAGAGGGGCTGAATCCCCTATCAGGTTGAGTAAGGCAGAGAAAGATAAGCCACAGCCGGAAGATGGATTCACTCTCCTACAAAAGACCAGTGCTAATTGTGGGACACAGTGGCACACGCCTGTAATCCCAGCTACTTGGGAGGCAAAGGCAGGAGAATTTCAAGTTCACGACTAGCCTGGGCAACTCAGTGAAACCTTGTCTCTAAAATACAAGGGGAACAGGGCATGGTGGCACATGCCTATAATCTCAGCACTCAGGAGCCTGAGGCAGAATGATCACTGCAAGTTCAAGGCCAACTGAGTACACATGGTGAGCTGAAGGCCAGCCTGAACTGTATAGTGAAACTCTGTCTCAAAAAAATTTTTTTAATTAAAAAATAACATAAAAAGGGGGTTGGGATATGCTCAGTGGAGAATGCCCTTGGCTTCAATTGCTCCTGCCCCCAGAAAAGAAAAAGAAAAACCTAATGGCCATATTATTTTTGTCTGCTTTGAAGCAGTAAGTGCTCTGGACCCACAGACGTATTTCCCACACAGACAAATACAAACCTGAGCAGGTAGACAGCAAAGGTTCTGCCATGAAGAAGGCATGGCAGTTACAGGAGAAGCTGTCCCCAGTGTGGGTAGGAAGTGATGCTTACTCCTGAGCAGACCATCACAAACATCTCTAGGAAGGCACTTTCTTATTCCAACTCAAGTTACCTGTCAGCCACCCACGCTGCTCCACTTGTGTCCCACCGAGCAAACTCTACCCCCATAACCTGTGACAGCTGCACAGTGACAGCTGTGGTTGTTCAAAATAAGTGGACTTCAAATATCATTACCTGTTCAGTTTTTCTTGCAATGAGATTGCCAATTGTCTTGCTGAAAAAACTGGCAAGCAGAGGGTTGAGTGGTGGTTCTCGATCCAGGAAGTCATACAGAAGGTTCAACAGACTCTCATCCCCACCTAGTCTGTCGCTGATCTGTGGCACATCGCAAGTCAGAAGCTCACAGGCTGTGTTTGGGTATCTAAAAGGGCACAGTCCAAGCACTGGAGGTGAAATTAGACTTCTCCAACTCTCAGGAAGATGCTTAAATAATCTGCTTTTTAGGAAATAGACCTATGTGAAAAGAACAATGCATCGGGGGTAACCCACTCAGCCCCCCCTGCTGTCACTCTCTTGGACAGAAGCTTTCTTTTCTTTCCCTCAGTAAATGTATTCTGCTGTTAACCTCTGTTGTTCCTAAAATTTAAAAAAAAGTAAAAAAAAGAACAATGCATCAAATAGACCTTAGAACAGAAAAAGTATTACTCTGTGACCAAATGGTATTTTGATTACTAAAAGTTTAAAGTTTTAAGACCATTTACATGCTTCTAAGCCCCTGTGTTCTGACCCCTTCCATTCTCTAAATAACCTTTCTTATCTCTCTCTAGGGCTTCATACTTACCTGCCAGACCTCTCACCTCCTGTTTAACTAAACTGTTTCACTGAGGCCAAGTCCCACTCGCCTGCATTCTTCCCTCTGCATAGAAAACCTACCTTTCCTCTGCTACCCTCACCACGTCCTTGCCTGTCATATCTGGAAGCACACACCCAAACTGTCCTAAGTCTGGAGAAATACCACACCTGCAGTTTATGATACAGCATCAGTGTAAGCCAGTGTGCAAGTAATTTATTCTTTTTTTTTTTTTTTTTTTTTTTTTGGTATTGGGAATCAAACTCAGGACCTTGCACTTGCCAGGCAGGCACTTGTGCCACTGAGCTATATCCCCGATCCAAGTAATTTATTCTTAATAAATGTCAATAGTTTTGAAGAATATACACTAGCATGTGTAATCCCATAATGATATCACTGTGCTCCCTCTTAAGTATCTGACAAAAACAGAGTAGAGAACAGTTGTCACACCAGGGTGGGCACACCTTCCCAATGCCCAGTGCAGGCACACCTGCCCAATGTCCAGCACAGGTATATCTGTCCAATGCCTAAGACTGGCACACCTGTCCAACATCCAGCATGGGCGTACCTGTCCAATACCCAGGGCGGCACACTTTTCTAATACCCAAGGGGCATACCTGTCCAATGCCCAGTGTAGTCGCACCTGTTCACAGTGCCCAGACCCAGGCCCTTGACAATAGCACTAGTAATAAGGTCTAGAGTTCTGTCTCTCATATAGGTATATCTGAGAACATCAGGGAATATACACAGGGCTCAGCAGTCTGGAACCCAGTGGAAACATCCCCAGGGACTGACTACCTTGGGACAGGACTGTCCCTACACCAGGGCAACTCCCTCACTCTCTGAACATGGAAGTGATGACATTTGCCTGCTCCATAAGGCTTCTATGAGGACAAGAGGGACTAATATGTATAAAGCAGAGTAGCACTTGCCATGCAGGAAGCACTCAGTTGAGGTCAGCTGCTATGACTGTCTCTTCCCGACATGTGCCAGTGTCAAGTGAAGGTGGTCATGTGGGTCTGCCAGACCCAAGGGTTCTTGGTTCTGACAGAGTCAGAGGAAATAGCTAGCTGAGTATGGTGGCCATCTGAGTGTGGAAGAGGGATTTCAGCTGGCTGTGGGTGCAGGTGATCTTCCTCAGCCCCCTGAGGGAGCAGCCTCAGAACTGTGAGGGTCCTCCAACACAGAGAGACCCAAAAGACAGGCCCCAGGCACCACAAAGAGGTGTGGCTGGTGCTCAGGGCACTCTAGGCTGGGTGTGGGAAGAAAGTGAGCCTGAGGGCTGGGTCACAGCTGAGCTTTGATCAACCTCTCTGGCCTCTGAGGTTCCTGTCTGTAAAATAGGATAACAATGCCCACCTCATGGGATTACTCTAAGGCTGGGCAAGAGTTCAGCACAGGGGATAATTCGTGGCCACTGAAGGCAGGGAGCCAGAAAGAACAGGGAGGGGGACCAGGCTGGCAGCACTGAAGGCCACAGCAGGGTTCTCTAAACAACAAAACAGAACGCACCGAGGCAATGAGCAGAGCTCAAATCCAATGGTCCAAGGAAGCAGGGAAAGTACAAACTGCTCCTCAGAGCTTTCTAGAAGCAGAGCACAACCCAACCTTGTCCACTATGGAGCTGATAGAGCTAGGAGAAGCTGATGCCCACAGGTTATATCTAGGTGGAAAGACTAAGATTTTCTCATTTTTCTCTTTATCTGTATTTTATAACTACTTGTCAAATAGGTACTGATTTAATAGGTTTTAAAATCTGTGTAAGAAAAAAATTTTTAAAAATTTGTGTAAGAGGGCTGGGGATATAGTTCAGTGGCACAGTGCCTGCCTGGCAAGTGTGAGGTCCTGGGTTCACTTCCTGGTGCTAAAACAAAATAAAATAAAATGTAAATAAGGAGTAGGAGTTTGAGTTAAATATGGCAGGGCACACAGGCTTACTGACAGTCCCTCTCACACAGAAAGGAAAGACAAGGAAAAGGAAGGGAAGGGGAGGGGAGGGAAGGGGA